TCAGGATTCAACTGAGGGAGCCAAGTGCTCTCATCCACTTTTCCAGAAGGATCTTAAAGTAAAAACGACATAATTGTCAGAAGAAAGACAAGTACTTAGACAACAACAGGGGAAAAATTATGTGAAGGGGCAGGGTGGATACTGAACTTTTACTCTCTGAACCCACTGAAAGACCTGCCAAATGTGTCTCAGAAACATTTTGGTAACAATAAACAGATTTGTGTAATGCCACGTCATTTCTTATCTGTGTTGTTTTCTGCACTGTTTGGATTAAGTTATATGATGTTACTTAGTGTTTATTATTTTAACTCACAATTTATCTCTTATTTTCAACTGGACTAAAATATCAGAGGAGACTACTGCATGCAATCGTAGGTTATAATTGAATACATTTATTAACGTTCCAACAGAAAAATTAACACCAGACACCAGTCACATCTAACAGAAAGGTTAGCAGTGAGCGGAGACAGCAACCATCCTTGATTTCTCTTGACCCTAACAGCAGGCAAACACAGAGATGTCATGAAAAGAGCTTCACTTGTTTGTTTCTAATGTCTGGTGATCCACTTGCTTCTTCTTTTTTTAAACATCAGCTGTAGTTGCCATCCAGTTATTTCAGTAGGACTACTATTAGGCTGGTATTTGTACTAAAAAGTACCAGTAAGAACCAAAGTAGTTATAATAAAATTTGGTATATATTGTGATTTACTGATCTCTTAACTTTTCATCAAGTCAATTAGTCCTGGGTAGTATTATGGCATCTAGCATAGCAGGATTTTTAGAAAACAATTTTATCTTTAAAACCTTAAAAAAAAAAAAACTTAGACACTGTTACTAATGATTTTTTCTTTAAAAAATCATTTAAGAACGCAAAGATTTTGTGATATGTGGTTAGTAGAGATATCCAGTTCACTGAACTTGTTTCCTTTTATCCAATGCTCTGCATCGCCATGAAAAACCATTCTTTTATTCGGCACAGAATAACTGTTGGATTTAGGATGTGAAATAGTCAGGAGTGAGCTGAAAACACAGAGACAGCAGCCTTCCCTAATCTCCCCCCGACTTCAGCAGGAGTACAACTCCACGGGCGTCACAGCAAGATTTTCACTTGGTCGTGTACGGTTTCAGCTGTCTGCCTTTCAGACCCAGATCTGAACAGGTAGAGGAGAATAGGCCTATAGAGTCCTCTTCTTTTCCTCTTCCCTCCCCTCCCTCTTCTCCTTTCTCTCCCTCTCTTTTCTTCCTGGCCGGCTAATCTCTTCTCAGGTTTAGGGTTCCCGGTTCGGGCTCTTTGAGGAGGAGGAAATATGGGGTTGGGTAAACATCAGGGCTCTCACTGCAGGGATTACAACACCCATATATCACTGAGACAACTCCCTTTTCAACAAATGACAAGTCACCAGGACCCTGTGCGAGAAAGGATCCAATGACACTTCCTATCAACACAGCAGACACCGATAGCATATACCGTCACCGTTTTCACAACATCGTGTTAGTTTATGAGGATCCGGTGTCTTCGCATTCTCAGCCAACGTCTTCAGATCGGTTTGAGGTTTTCACACATTGTTGCACCTGATGTTTGGCTTGTGGGCATCTTCAAAGAGGCAACAGCACAAACGGAAAAGAGCTCTAGAGAAGCTCTTTGATCCTTTCAGAGAGAGTGCTGTTCATTGCCCAAAGACTCCATTTCACTCTCTCCTGTTGACAAAGCGAAGTACCATGCATGGCAACGTGCTGCTGGATGCATTGTGCTTCAGCGGCTGGGTGTTATAAAGTAAAACCACAATCGGGCCTCATTTAAGAAAAACACACTTTTTATCCAAAAAGACATCACCGAAGGTCAATGAGGTGGATCAGTTTTCCAACCTCACTGGGACGAGCACAATTCCATGTGCTCATGCATTTTAGCTGTCAGAAGGCTAAAATTCAATTAGCCAAACAGCTTTTCTTTTCCAAAGCAGCGGGTGCGTCCAATAATTCCTCAGTGCGATGCATAATGAGAAGTGAGGGACACTTAAATGCACTCCCCAGTTGTGCTTTTCACTTGTGTGCAGTTGACAACGAGCAGTCATGTCAGAGTAAAGGATGAAATCATTTAGGGAGGAACAAAAGGCACCCAAAATTTATGGACGATTAACAATGATGCGTGTAAAAAATTGGAAAATAGACACTGTGGTGATGCTACACATGTTTTTACTATTGATGGCAAATTGAGAATAAAGCTACAACATCTTAAATTTATAAAGCGTTGTTACGTTTTTTGTAAAGTGTTTATATAAATATTTTCACTGGAATGTGGCTCTAATATTCACATTTCTCACAGAACAGTATTCTGGTCAGCAGTATACAGCACCACGTTACTTTGTAGTAACATCCTAAAGGTTAAACTCCACTGAAGAGAAATTATAACTAAACACATTCTCATAATGTACCTGTTCAGTTTTTCTATAATGAATCCTTGATATTTTCATTATTATTTTTAATTTTCAAAACCAGCATTAGTGTTTTAACACTATGTCCTTACAGATTGTTTACTTTAAAGGATTTTTTTGATACTCAATGATAATGCATTGAGGAAATTAATGACTGGTTGCGCCACAATTTTCTCCAACTAAACAAAAACAAAACTGAGGTAATAGTCTTTGGCGCCAAAGAAAAACGATTACAGGTCACCAGAGAACTTCAATCTATACATCTAAAAACCACAAACCAGGCGAGAAATTTGGGTGTAGTGATGGATGCAGACCTAAACTTAGAAAAACACATTAAGACAATAACAAAATCAGCTTACTATCACCTCAAGAATATTTCAAGGATAAAAGATCTGATGTCTCAACAGGACCTGGAAAAACTAGTCCATGCATTCATCTTTAGTAGGCTTGATTACTGTAACAGCATCTTTACAGGTCTACCTAAAAAATCAGTCAGACAACTACAGCTCATTCAGAACTCTGCTGCTCGAGTCCTCACTAAGACCAAAAAAGTGGACCACATCAGTCCAGCTCTGAGGTCTTTACACTGGCTGCCTGTCCGTCAGAGGATAGACTTTAAAGTTCTGATGCTGGCCTATAAAGCTCTGAATGGTTTAGGACCAAAATACATCAGTGACCTCCTGACCCAGTATGAACCTTCCAGATCCCTCAGGTCATCTGGATCCGGTCTTTTATCAGTTCCCAGAGTCAGAACCAGACACGGAGAAGCTGCATTCAGCTTTTATGCTCCTTATATCTGGAACAAACTCCCAGAAAGCCTCAGATCAGCTGAAACACTCAGTTTATTTAAATCCAGGCTGAAGACTCACCTATTCTCAGCTGCATTTGAATAAAGCACCAAATCCACACTTTTAAGCTTAAATTTCAAAACTTACACTAACTACTGATCTTATCTATTTCTGATTTTATCTGTTTTGATTTTATATACTGTTTTGTTTGTTTGTTTGTTTGTTTGTTTGTTAAGTGGGTTTAGAGCTCTGGGTAGCTCCCCAGCTGGGTCTAGACTGGGTCTAGAGAGTATTTTAAATTCAGGGAATTTAAAATAGAAAGTAGCTCGTCCACAGAAGGACTGGTAGCTCCCCTTACGATAAGGGTTCAGATCGCGCGAACAGGTGTGAAATGTGTGTGTTTAGTTAGTTTGTTTGTTTGCTTGTTTTAATCAATTTTAAATCATGCTTTTTATTTGTTTTTGTTTCTAATGTCTCTGTAAAGCACTTTGAATCACCTTGTTGTTGAATTGTGCTATACAAATAAATTTGCCTTGCCTTGCCTTGCCTTACTAATTGCAGTATTAGCCTGGCTAATTATCAAGTAAGTAAAACTCAAATTTTTTGCATAGAATAAAGAAACGTGTTGACCTATGAACTTAGACTTTGCACTTTGAGCTTTAGAGTTTAGTCATATTTCTACTATTAGGTAAGCTAAGCTAACCTACTCCTGGCTGTAGTTTTAGACTGAACACACCCCTTGTGCTGATCTTCTTTCAGTAAGACAACAAGGAGGCAAAATTAAAATGAAGTAAATTAGTGGTTTTTAGACACCAAAATGAGCCCAAACCTTAAAACAACAGGTCAGCAAAAAAGCATCAGCAGTTTTGTAGTTTTTTCCCCTCCGTGTATATATGATTTTTTTTACACAATAATTTATTCTGGTTGATTTGCTGTCCCCTAGAGCAGCTATCCATCTTCTCCAGGAACACCTCAGTGCTGATAATACAGGAGTATAATCCTTCATCATTACTGTTACACACATTAACAGTAGTCATAGTTCAAATTGTGACAGATTGTGTATCTGATTTGTACAACATGACCTCATAATACTGCACAGGAAAGCACCAATTGTGAAATTTTGGGTTGAAATCAATGTGTAAAAATAACAATTTGGACAGTGGCTGAAGAAATACTAATTTTGTTCATCTTAAAGATAATAAAGGACGAGACAAGTCTTTTGGGTCCTTATGTGATTTACTTTGGACATTTAATCAGCACATCAGCCCTACTTGCAATAAGCTGATTATTGGTTACTGGCAATAGTTTAATAAGCAAGATAACCTCCATCCAATCTTAGGATCCAGGACAGCCAGGCATTCTCTTAGCGAGATAGAATTTAGACCACTGAGTTGTTTTGTACAGAATGGAGGGAACTCTTTAGAAATTGCATGGTAGTGGTGAAATTTCTACACATACACAGAGTCATAAAAAGCAAAAAATGCACACTAACTATGTTTAATAATAGAGAGCAAGCTATCAAGTGTCACAGGGAAGATATATGTATAAAGCTGTAGACAGAGGCATAACTAAATGTTTGCAGTCTGCACTGGCTTCCCTTACAAAGACATTCTGAGAAATCCAAACAGGAAAACTTGACCTTTCTTTGCAAGGAACAGAAAATGCAATCCAGACCATGTTGTCATGGGGAAAACACAACATGTTCGTCTTCATGCGACCAAACTGTAGACATCATAATTCTCTGGATGACAAACTTCTGAAAATCATGGCAAAGATACTAACAATAGTTACATGTTCACTCATGTGAATTCATGCCACCCCAGCTTCTTTTTTAATGGCTCTGTTTATTTAAAGACTAATAATCCACGTGGAGCTAATGAATCTTTCACTAATATTAAAATCAAATTAACAGCAATGTTAATAGTGGTGTCTGCTTTCAGTCAAAGACATGCAGCAAACTTAGGTATAAAAGCAATATTCATATAAGGTGTACGGCTGATGGAGCGTGTGTTGGCAGGCATCGCCGCAAGTATGAATAAGGACATCTGGGAAGAATTATCCTCATTATAACAAAAAGCTATCAGTGATTTATAGGAGGTTGTATTCTGTTGTTCCACTATCTCATAACGATAAGAACTTTATCATGGCGAAATGCGCATTATCTCTGTCACTCCCTTTCCCTTTCCTCTTTTCTCTCTAAGGAGTTAAACAGGATGACTAATTAACAACTTTACTCTTCGCAATTCTCAGGAAAACCATGATATCCAACATCCGATAGTAGAATCAATCTCACATGTGGGGCAGCGACATTTTGCATGCCTCACTACCGAGAAAACAAAACATCTCTTTTTAATTAAACAACAGTGCGGTGTCAAGACCTGATGCGACATACCATCTCACTGACCACGAACAAAACCAGCTCACCCATCACATTTTTCTTCTTCTTCTTTTTCCTCTCACCAATGTGAACAAACCCGACATGCTCAAACATCCTCTTGCCTGAGGCAAAGAGGTTTTTACCATTTATTTGTGAAGTGATGCAGCTGCCAATTTGTCAGGAACATGAATCACAACGAATGTCATATTTAAGGCCAATAACGCCATGAATATTCATTTATATTGTCTTAGGTTTGCTTTACACATCTGGCCCAAAAACAGTGATTTGATTTGATGGCTTTAGTAGCATGAATCTTGATATTTCTCACTGTGGGGGAAGAATAATTTCTCCTTATATAATCCTGCAATAAGTAAGAAGTCAGATATGGATTTCAGATCAAGTCTGACAGTCACATCCATCCTAATGACTCCAGTACACATTTGGAGGGCCTTACATAGGATCCCCACATCAGGTTAACTGTTGTGACTTGGCCTACATGTACTTCATTCGAACTGCACAGTGCTTTGGACCTAAAGCACCTCTGCATATTTTTCATCCCTGTCATTCAGTTCAAAAAACAACTCATATAACAGAGGATTTAAAGTTTCTATCCATCCTCTTAGTCGCACTACTGGGCACATTTATTCCAATGCAAATGAGGATGTGTGTGCATCCTAAAATGTACAGATGGCTGATATAAGACAGCAACATTACCTGAAAGACAAAAAGTCAGACAAGACATTGGAACTACACAGTTAAAAATTACTTTTCCACTGCTTTAAATTTGGCCTTTCTTAGTTGTGCATTTCTCAATAACTCTTAAGTTCACTTTAAAAAGAAATAAAAGGAAGGAATGGAGAAGATGGAGAAAAGACAACACTCTTACCTTTGACTGTTTAAGCTGGATGCCATAGATGAGAATATTTCTGTGCTTGGCTGTTGAGGCCAACTCCGTGATTGCCGTGGGTGCTCTCTCGCTGACAGGGAGCTCATCAGTCCTGCTGAAGTGCACCTATCAAAACAAAGACCACCGCACCCAATCAGAAAACAACTGCCAATAAAGAATAGCAATTACGCCCCATTTTGGAGCAATTACAGGACATTGTTCAAGCAGTAGTTTAAACATGTTGCAGCTCAATAGGCTTATTTGTTTAGGGCTATGTTTGGGGAAGTTCGAGGAAGCATGAGCGTCTGCTTAGAGTAAACAGAGGTTGGTTGATACACAATCCTGTCTGAGGATATAATGACTCTAATTGAGTTGTAAATCTTATGGACCTCTGGGGTTTATTTTCCTCAATTAGGGTAGCATAATCCAGATACAATGGTTCAGGTTACTGTGTCATCTCTATGAGCAGCTAAACTTTAGTCGATTTCCATAACCATACTGCTGACAGCAACTTAAATGGAGATTTATTCCTTTCAATTATTCTGTCACATATCGTAAAAAACTGCGGCAGTGAGATGCAATAGTCAGGAGAATAGTTTCAAAAATGTCAAGACATCTGCTTTAAACGTACAATTATTGCACTCTCCTTGAATATCAATCAAATGTTGGTTGTCATCAGCTGAAGTTCCAACTTGAAAACTGATTATTCAGCACATTCGCAGGGGTAGGACACCAAATTGTCTTATTCGGGCCAAGAATCCTCAACGGTGAGCGAGCTCATGAAGAATGAGAGTATTTGTCCTTATTAGACTGGATTTTACCAGAAATTAAAAAAAACTTGAACATAGACACTATTGTTATTGGGCACCTTCCATAATGACTTAGAGGGGATGCTAAGCTGATGTAAAATATACTTGAAGAGCCCCCAACAACCTGACAATCAATCAAGTACAAGCTGCTTGAGTGATAATTATACAATAATAATATTATTGATATTAATGGTAATAAACTTCAGGCAAATGTTTATCATAGATTGGTGATTTCTTATAGCGTAAACTCAACAGCAACATTTTTTTTCTTTGAAATGTCTTGCTCAAGGCCATAACATCTTAGACTAAGTAAAACAAAGTGACCTCCATTATCCGGTCTCCTTTACTCCCCTTGAGGCTACCACCATCACATGGATAACACCAACACTTGAAACTCTATGATCCCTCAGTGATCACTACCATGTGATCAAGCCTGGGATAAATAACGGGGTGCATATGCAATCTAATAATAGCCCCAGGCAAACCCCCCCCCCCAAAAAACCCAGACACTCTGGTGCAGGATCAAATCGCTTAGGAGGACTGCCTCATGTTTTGCCGTATTCTCAACTTTCCAGGCTGAGTTTATGCACATTTGAATGTTGACGAAATTAGGTTAGGCATAGATGGGGGGAAAAATGACAGATGTGATTTACTTTAATAGAATACGCTTTAATTCTCCCTTTTGGTTTTCCCCTGCAAATTTCTAAAGGCATTTTTTATATTCCAATCAATGAATCAATCCTTTAAATAGCAATTTGGTAACAAAAAATAATCTGAAATCCAGCGTGGTTTTATAATTCACAGTCTCACTGTAGATCAGAGCATCACTGCATGTTACATAAGGAAGTACTAGGTCTATATAGACTGATAGAATACAATTACAGGAGCAATCAAATTCTAATAACTTCTATCTTCTTCATGTAATAAGAAAAGGACACCACTCATTAATACAGCAGCATAGAAGACAACAACAAAAGACAAAAAAAGTGACAACAGAAATATGCAGCAACCAGGCTCCTTTAAGCTGCCAACAGAACTCTGATCTACTGAACCACAAACTCTGATGTTTGGAGCCCAGTCAGCAAATTGGGCTGTTGTTTGTGTTCTGCAGGTCCTTCTCATTGGGCGACAGTGCTGGAGCAACAGAGTGTCACTCCACAACACAAAAGATGGACTAGTTTGGGATTCAACAATTTCAATCCTTAACTCTAGTTTTTGTCCATAGTTGTGTTTTTTGTCTTTTTTTTTTAACCATTTTTGTGCAAAGCGGGGGGGGGGGGGGGGGGGGGGTGCTAACATATCATCTAATGCTAGAAGCTTGCAAATTGCATTCAGCAGTAAAAAAAAAACAACAAAAAACAGATGCAGAAAGGCAGACAAGTAACAAACTGATAAAACACTAGAATTTCTCTTTCAAATCCCACACTGCTTGGACAGGCTATATCACACAGTAAGCTTTGTGTCTTAATTGTTTAATTAAAATTCAACCTAAAACTACCTAGGAGGCACAAACAGCACAAATATGGTGGCGAAATCTAGTTCAGCGATTTCACCACCAAGAAACAATACTGCTGTTTATGGATGGATGGAGTTACTAAAAATATCCGCCTCAGTAGAGTTGTTGGAAGGTGAAAGCTATCCATAGAGTCTCCAAAAGTTGATTCTGTTCATCTGGACGTAGCGTTTTCAGTGGGAGAGACGTTTAGTCACTCAACCAAGTGACTTCTTCAGTCTCAGCTGACTGCAGGTTTCCCCAATCTTATAAACGGTACATTTGCATAATGACTGAAACCAGCACCACTGAAGGAACAAAGGGCTGGGAGGTCAGTTCCTTCATCATAATTATGAAAATTCTCATGACCATTGATCAACAACCACTGATCAATGGCCATGAGAACCATTCACAGAGAGCTGGGCAATGGCTGCAATCACATCACTGTATGATGGCGAAAGATGTACCCTTAGGCCCCCTCCTCAATTCAAAGATGGTCTTTCCCTTTTCACGTAAATGGCCTCCTTGACTCCGCGCTCAAAACAGCGTTCCTCCCTGTTTATAAGATTGGGGAAACTTGCAGTCCGCTGGGACTGAAGAAGTCACTTGGATGAGTAGTTAAATGTTTCTCCCACTAAAAACGCTACGTCCAGATGAACAAAATCAACTTTTGGAGATTTACTTACCTGGATGAATGAGCATGCATCAAGACCTATCCATAGAGTCCTGAGTTCAATTCCACCTGAGTTCAAACCTGCCTTTCTGTGTGCAGTTTGCATGTGGGTTCTCTCCGAGTACTTCAGCTTTCTCCCACAGTCCAAGGACATGCAGTTAGTGGGGGTACGTTAATTGGAAGCTCTAAATTGCCCATAGGTGTGAATGGAGGTGTGAATATGAGTGCGAATGGTTGTCTTTGTCTATGTGTTAGCCCTGAGACAGACTGGCAACCTGTCCAGGCTGTACCCTGCCTCTCACCCCAAGACAGCTGGGATAGGTTCCAGCCCCCCCTGAGAAGGATAAGTGGCAGAGAATGGATGCATCTAAAAATGTTTTAATTGCTTTAAAGTTTGGCATTTAAACAGTGCAGTCTACAAGCATTGAACCTCTTTATGAGATAGCCTCAAGTGGCCTCCCAAGGAACTACAGTTAATTAATTGGCTTAATTTTTCATCCCTGGAGGTTGCAGTTTGGTGCGCAACAATCTTTATATGGGTGGTATACGTCAAAGTAACATCCACATAAATCTCAGGACCCAAGGCTTCGCAGCAGAACATTGCATTGTAACAAGATGATCGATGTTATTCACTTCGCCTGTCAGCAGTTTCATTGTTGTGGCTGATCGGAATAAATGTTAGAACAGAATAAGATTAGGATGAACTAGCAACATTTACCAGTGAGAGTTTTGTGGGAACCTGGTTTGTTCTGATGTGGAAGGGAGTCAATCCCATTAAACCCCACAGCTTCAAACCGAGTGTTTACACATCTGAATCTATGTGCTTCAATCTTTATTGAAAACTAACACAAGTAAGCACAGGGGCTTTAGCGGAGCAATTCTGCATGACATCTGGCTTGTTTTGTCACAGAAATCAGCCTCTGTGGGTTTATGTTGTTCTCATTACCTGGCATTGTTTTTGATGCTGGCTCTTTGTTTTAGATGAAGAGTTACATTTTCCAAATTAAAAAAAGTAAACAAGCCTTTCACAAACATTTAAATGTTTCCCAGAGCAGATTAAAGCAGTTTGTTCTTTTTTTCCCTCAGTGAGCTCTCAGGTTAGTGTAGCTCTGGTGGGATCAGCCACAGTTTGAAGGAAAGCGAGCCGTAAGAGAGGTCGTGCAGAGGTGCTTTCAAGGGAGGTGTAGAGTTTCCAAATAGCTACAGAGCTCCAGAAGGGACGTGAGGTGGACCACAGGTTAGATTTTTACAAGCAGAAAAAAAAAAGAAAAGGTTTTCAATGCTATGCAGTACATGTACCTCAATGAAACTTAATCTGTGCTGCACCAGTTGTGTGGGGAAATGACACTGAGACATTATATGCACAGACATACAGTAGTTTATATACTGTATGACTTTAAGGACATGTTATAGATTTATGAGCTTTTATTTATATATTAAAGAGACAAACTTGTAACCCTTTAGGTGGCTTCTCTAACAAACACACAACTGCAAATAACACACCTTTAGTCCTCAAATGGTATTAATAGCTCGTTTAAGAAAGAAAAAAAAAGAGTACATACTGAATACACTACATATAAAAAAGAAAAAATGTTTGCTTAAAGAAACGTCAAACCTGTGTGCTTTGAATTACAAGTGAGTTGAACTGTATGTAGATATCCAAGAAAAGAGAGTGGCGATGTATAGAAGGCTTGAGTAGTATCAATTATAACAGTTTAAACTCCCAACGGTATGAATTTCAGTACTTGAAAAAACAGAACCCCCTAATGTTAATGTATCACAGTTGATGTATGCAGTTTTTGTGAGTTTGAGACTTTACATCATTGGTATCATTTCTTGGATGTAGCAAATATGATACAAATTAAAACATATATGAAAATTAATATTTAATTGGGTTTAAAAAAACTTGTTAAGATGCTACGTTTGAATGCTTCAGTTTAAAAAAAAATGCTATTTTCTGTCAATTTCATGATTCAGGCTTTATTAAAATGGTGTGGAAAAACTGTATTGTGGCACTGGAGCAGTTTCCACTGGTCCGACAGGAAGCTGAGCTCAGTGAGCTGGGAAAAAGTGAGACTGCGAGTAGTTATTTGTAAAAGGAAAATGATTCAGTCCCATTTGGATCAATTTTGGATTGAATCATGATGATAACAGTAAGTCAACACAACACAAAGCTATGCTGCAATAGGCTCAGGCTCCTGTGGGTCTTAACATGTTGCACAGAGCATTTGTTCAGCACTCACCTCTTTCCATTCACTGCGTGTGTATATATAACACTAATCCACACTGCTAACTTTTGTCTTCTCGTTCGAATAGTATGTTTTTTGTCCTCATCTCTCTATGCACTCTTCCCCCCCCCTTTCTTTTTCCCTTTACCTCTCAATCCAGCCATAGTAGACAGCTGGCAGAGGTCCCCTCCTGTTAAAAAGAAACTGAACTAAGTATACCTAGAAGCCTTTTTATTGTACTAATGCACTGGTTATAACATTTGTATGATATAGCCTATAGCTTTCATTCTCTCCATCCATCTGTCCAATTTAGTAGCCTAACATGGATGTCACTGGACAAGTTCTGACAGTTTGTTGGTCTGGGGCTTTCAGGTATATATTATAACAATATGTCAAAATCTTCCAAGGAGTGGACGTCTCAGCATATTCTCCCCAAGGTCAGATCATACAATGTTCCGAGAAAATGCTAAAAATCTCAAGAGCTACATTTCAGACACTAGAAACCTTGGTTTGCATGTTAAATTATAAAGTTCATGACAGAACAATTAGAAAAAAAGACAAGTACGAACAAGTATGCCTTTTTTGGAAGGGTTGCTAAGCCTCTTTTCTCAGAAAAGAACATGGTAGCACAACTAAGGTTTGCAAAGCTGCGTCGAAACAAAGCACAAGATTTCTGGAACAATGTCCTTTGGACAGACAAGACCAAAGTGGAGATGATGCACAAAGCCACATTTGGAGAAAAGTCAGCATATCAGCACAAACACGTCTTGGGGACCTTAAACTCTGTTTACCAAATTATTTAACAAACAAACGTGAGGCCATCTGTCCAAGCTAAGGTTTGGCATTCCAACAGTACAGTGATCCCAAGCACAACAGCAATCTACAACACAATGGCTGATTTCAGTCCATCACACTGAAGTCCAGACTTCATCCAGATTGAAATGCTGTGATAGGAACTTAAGAGAGCTGTGCATGAATTAATAAAAAAAAAAAAAGTGGGACAAATTCCTCCAAAATAATATGAGAGACTGATAAAGTCAGTCAGAAAATGATTACTTCTAGGTGTTGCTGTTAAAGTTGGTTCTAAAAGTTACTGAATCATGGTTGTTCCAAATGTCATTAGACCTTCTTCATGCCTCGCTGGCTTACAACATCTGAGGCAGCAGAGATGGGAGAAGGAAACTATTGTCTAGTTTCAGTGAAGCAAAAAATCATACAGGCAGCAGAATTGACTGTGTAAATAATGCTTGACATTGATAAAATAAAAATAACTTGTTAAACCAACTAGGATTTTTTTAAGTTATGCCCATTTATTTTATATGTCTATTGCAATAACTAAGCCAGTGTGCACACTTCTTATGGATACTTCCTGTGGATGCTTTCAAGGCAGGACTGTACATAACAGAATCAAGAGCAGGTTTTCCAGGTTCTGTTAACTAGATTCCTGAACTGTATTTTGTTTTTTAGGTACACAGTTTGTAGGAGTTAAAAAGTTGAGAATGGCAATGATGACTTAAAAAATGATGCGTTTTCCCCACATAACTGCATGCAAGAGCTGCTGTGCTGTCCCTGTAATTGCCAGCAATACATTCTTTGTCTTTTAATGGTTTACAAATCTGACAACAACAAGAATACACGAGGTCCCAGCAAGGAATGGAAACAGAGTTGTGGGGGACGTAGAGTAGATTTGTATGTGAAATCACAGTAAGGATGGCTGCATCTGTCAGTGAGTGCACCACTTGGGTCCTGACTGAAATATGTTAATAAGTTCATGCCCTGAAATTTGGCATGAACACTCGTGGGCTCTAGAGGATGATTGTTACTGACATTTTCCTTTAAAACCACCGAAGCCTTTGACTTGGGTGGTTTTAGTCAAATGTGTCAACAACATTTGGATGATTTTTCATTAAATTTTAGAGGCTTTAATTTCTCCTTGGGTTTTTCATTACATCTCAGTTTTTACACCCCCCATAACTTGTCTGCCAGTCCAGGAACCTAGAAAAATGCCACACTAAGATGATGGACATGGATTAGCACTCTAACTGTGAGATGTACGGTTATAGGATCTACATCTCAACTCACCCAAATAACAACCACCGGGTGGAGAAGAGCTCGATTTTCTGCCTCTAAAGCCACAAGTATTGCCTCCACTTCAGACAAGCATGAGTGACTGACCTAAAGACCAAAGACAAAAACAAAAAAATTCATGACTACTTACAGCGGCATATTTTACTTTCACAGAGAAGTTGTAGAAAATAGAATAAGAACTTACAGAAACTTGGATGAAGTTCCACTCCTTTAACAGACACCTGGCGTTGTCTCCCATTAGATCTGGGACGATGTCCAACTCCTGTGAATGAGAGATACCCTCATGTTAAATATTCAGCTGATGTATCTTGCTTGACTGATAAGATTTAAGGTAGGTCCACCAGTGCCAAGGTCCTAATGCATTTCATATAGAATGACTGATCGACTCCAACGCTCAAAGGTCAAGAGGCTTCTGGTTTTTGTTTCAGCCACTATTTCAGTCATCTGTTGCGAGAGTACATCCACCTGCTTTTCTGCCATGAATCATTCTATGATTACAGAAAAAGGTTATTAAAAAAAGGAAAAGATTTGTGCCTAAAGATCACATAACTGAGTGGCTTATTTCCATCAACTGCAGTCAGAAACTTATTAGAACAAATGAGACAGGGTAAAAAAGAAACTATTTCTGGGCTTCTTATACTTCTGAACTGGCAGAAAAATTCTGTCATACGCAAAAAACGGGAACAGCAATCATACGTAAGCCAACTTAAATTTCATTATGCTGCAAATTGAGTTGAAGCCGACATGCAGCCAAGAACTGTAAAAGCCTTTTTACTTAGAGAAATGAGACATTTACGTTCTGATCTTTTAATTTTGGCTCTGGCACACAAATAAATTGAGGCAACTGGATAGCCCACAATGTCCATTTTGAATTCATTTTTGTTGTTTTCCCTTAAAAATATAACCTGTTACTATAGTGTCAAACATTCAGGAAATAAACACAGAAATAAACATTCAAAATCTATGTTTGGCATTGAGATGTCACTGTTCTCCTCATTAAAGTAACTGAAAGTAAATGAGAATGTGAAATGGTTATGGGAACCATATGCTCAATGGTTAATTGTTCTTGAAAGATAACTGCCCCCAGCTTCAGGAGGAAAATCTTTTTGGTCCGACATGCCGATTTGCAGGGTTCTAAAAAAAAAATCTAACATGATCTAAAACAGGTTGGGCATGAAATCGCAGAGTAGACGTGTTTATTTTAGTTTAGGCCTAGAGAGCCAAGAAGCCACAGAACCCCAAACACCAAAAAGACCAGTTAAACAAACCAGAGACATACGGTTAATACGGAATTTAAAAGTGTTAAGAAACTATTCTCATTTTTATACAAATAATAAGGCATATCACACACACACACACACACACACACACACACACATATATATATATATATATATATATATATATATATATATATATATATATATATATATATGCACACACACACACAGTGGGGCAAAAAAGTATTTAGTCAGCCACCGATTGTGCAAATTCCTCCACCTAAAATGATGACAGAGGTCAGTAATTTGCACCAGAGGTACACTTCAACTGTGAGAGACAGAATGTGAAAAAAAAATCCATGAATCCACATGGTAGGATTTGTAAAGAATTTATTCGTAAATCAGGGTGGAAAATAAGTATTTGGTCAATAACAAAAATACAACTCAATACTTTGTAACATAACCTTTGTTGGCAATAACAGAGGTCAAACGTTTACTATAGGTCTTTACCAGGTTTGCACACACAGTAGCTGGTATTTTGGCCCATTCCTCCATGCAGATCTTCTCGAGAGCAGTGATGTTTTGGGGCTGTCGCCGAGCAACACGGACTTTCAACTCCTGCCACAGATTTTCTATGGGGTTGAGGTCTGGAGACTGGCTAGGCCACTCCAGGACTTTCAAATGCTTCTTACGGAGCCACTCCTTTGTTGCCCGGGCGGTGTGTTTTGGATCATTGTCATGTTGGAAGACCCAGCCTCGTTTCATCTTCAAAGTTCTCACTGATGGAAGGAGGTTTTGGCTCAAAATCTCACGATACATGGCCCCATTCATTCTGTCCTTAACACGGATCAGTCGTCCTGTCCCCTTGGCAGAAAAACAGCCCCATAGCATGATGTTTCCACCCCCATGCTTCACAGTAGGTATGGTGTTCTTGGGATCCAACTCAGTATTCTTCTTCCTCCAAACACGACGAGTTGAGTTTATACCAAAAAGTTCTACTTTGGTTTCATCTGACCACATGACATTCTTCCAATCCTCTGCTGTATCATCCATGTGCTCTCTGGCAAACTTCAGACGGGCCTGGACCTGCACTGGCTTCAGCAAGGAACACGTCTGGCACTGTGGGATTTGATTCCCTGCCGTTGTAGTGTGTTACTGATGGTGACCTTTGTTACTTTGGTCCCAGCTCTCTGCAGGTCATTCACCAGGTCCCCCCGTGTGGTTCTGGGATCTTTGCTCACCGTTCTCATGATCATTTTGACCCCACGGGATGAGATCTTGCGTGGAGCCCCAGATCGAGGGAGATTATCAGTGGTCTTGTATGTCTTCCATTTTCTGATGATTGCTCCCACAGTTGATTTTTTCACACCAAGCTGCTTGCCTATTGTAGATTCACTCTTCCCAGTCTGGTGCAGGTCTACAATACTTTTCCTGGTGTCCTTCGAAAGCTCTTTGGTCTTGGCCATGGCGGAGTTTGGAGTCTGACTGTTTGAGGCTGTGGACAGGTGTCTTTTATACAGATGATGAGTTCAAACAGGTGCCATTCATACAGGTAACGAGTGGGGGACAGAAAAGCTTCTTACAGAAGACGTTACAGGTCTGTGAGAGCCAGAGATTTTCCTTGTTTGAGGTGACCAAATACTTATTTTCCACCCTGATTTACGAATAAATTCTTTACAAATCCTACCATGTGAATTCATGGAGTTTTTTTTCACATTCTGTCTCTCACAGTTGAAGTGTACCTCTGGTGCAAATTACTGACCTCTGTCATCATTTTAAGTGGGGGAACTTGCACAATCGGTGGCTGACTAAATACTTTTTTGCCCCACTGTATGTATGTATATATATATATATATATATATATATATATATATACATATATATATATACACAACTAGCTGAGATGCACCGTGTATTCTGACACCTTTCTATCAGAACCAATTTCCGCAATTTGAGCTACAGTATCTAGTCTGTTGGATCAGACCACATGCTTCACTTCCGATATGCATCAGTGAGCCTTGGCTGCCCATGAGCCTGTCACTGGTTCACCACTATTCCTTTGGACAACAAGATGGTGACCACAGAATTGCTCAGTTCCAAGATTTAAAAGAGGAATCCAACTTTTATGAATAAAACGGACTCCATTTTGAATTAATACCTGAATTGGGTTTTTTTCTCTAAGGTACAAAAAGAACAAGGTACTCAGACTTACAATGTGAATTCTTTTACAAAGCTTTTACTTTGTAACATTATTGACTGGTTATTTTTACTGTCTTTATGATACTTATGTCCAATTCTTACATAATTTTTTGTGTAAGAATAATACATTATTTATTATTTGTCTCATATGTCCAAAGTGACTTGTATCGCATACTCTTATCATTTTCTTTTCTTAAACAAAGTTTATGTGCTTTAAGTCCAGATTCCAGCATGAAAGGTAATTATTATATCAGACACAGGTACTTACATATACATATACATATTTAAGCTTGTGTTTGCATCAAGATGAAACATTAACAACATCTGCAAGCTACAAATACTGCTGACAGTATGAATATGGTACGTTTATTAAAGCTACCAGACACTTTGGCCCTAAAATATATTCAAAGATCAATCATCTAGTCTAAAAAAAACAACTTGTTGGCAAATTGCAAGCAAAGCTTAGAACCCATTATTTAAAACTATCTGTGGCTGACAGCCAAAAAAAGCACATTTGCTGGCACACTGTCTGTCCAATCATACTACTTGTTTTCTGTCTAAATGATAAATTCTCTTGAGTTGAAAGTAATTATCAAAAACCTTCACTAAGCTGATATGGATCTGAGGATTCCCTTTGATGTGCACAGCATATTAAAATAACAACATGTGTCAAGATTAAACGATACCAGGGGGAAGAAAGAGGAGATAATTTGATTTGAAAAAAAAAAGTTTAATGTGTTTTTTCCTCCCATAAAACATCTACTTGTCTGTGTCAGTCTTTGTTTCGATTTTACTCCAATCAAATACTGAAAATGTGTTTTTAATAAAACAAGAAAGCAATTGTCGGGTATTTAATGACACTGTTCAATGCAGAGTAATTTTCTTGGAAGAGGTTAAGGTTTTTATCACAATGTTAACTTTTTTCAGTGTATTTAGATGTGGTCACTTGAAGGAAACAAACACTGGATATACTAGACACAAAAATATTTGTTTCATATTTAGTAAAGTAGGTTAACCTCCTAGGACCTGGTGTCCACATATGTGGACATCACATTTTGGGTTGTCTAGACCAAAATACAAAATTTTGCTCTACAAGGGCCTGATATCCACTTACGAGGACGTTATACTACCACTGTTCTATCAAAATTTAAAACGAACATCCTCATATGTGGATCTAATTTTTCTCGGAAACAAAAATCAGGTAAAAAAAAAAAATAGTAATTCTTTGCTTTTACATTCATCAGGTCCCAATCAGCCCAAATAGCAAAGAGAAAAAAAAATGCATGCCATGAAAGAGTTTGGGTCTTAAGAGGTTAAACAAAGGCATGTGTGCGCTGCATATCATGTCAATGACAGTATTAAGTATTTATAATGACAAAACCGCTACATTGTTTGGCCAAAATAACCACACTAGTGTTCACCAATCCAATGTCACAAACGTGGGTAAATGTTAGTATGGAAAACAATATCTGGGAATTTAAGAGCAAGTGCTTCTATTAAGGTTTTAAACATATTCACACATTGGTGGTGGTACGGTATTTTTAGGAGTTAACATGAGAGAATCTTCTTTTATACATTTTTTTAGAAATTTAAAAAGGAATATTTCACTCCATAACTGAATGCACATAATTGTCCTGTGTCCCTCAATAAAACATATACATTGTATGCAGACTGTTTTGGTATGAGCTACCCAGTTTTGCATCTGTAGAGATATCAATCCTTTTCCTGAATTTAATTTTGAAAAACTCAGCAACAATGTCTCTTTTCAGAGCTCGTGGCTCATAAAAATCTGAACATTGCAATGAGCAAGTTCATGGGAGAATTATTTTTCATACTACCTACAGCCACCACAGCTAGATAAGACTGTGGCTCAGGTGTGGGGTACACTGCAAGTGTTTACATTCTATCACACTGTCACAACCACAAGCTTCTCGTCATGGTTAGGTGCACGCTTCATTCTTCACTCTTTGGTTTCCACATGAGATTACTCACATCAAGGTTTACCACAAGGTACCACTGAGCTCCATTATATTTAAGAGATGCTCAGTTTTGGACATCTCTACAGCCAGTAAAACTGGGCAACTAACACTTAAAACAAATCTAGAAAGACAGATAGCACCACAGGCCAGTGGAAAATCAGTAAATGTGATTTTGAGGTGAACCGGCCCTTTAAACTGCATCAAATTGATCTCTTAGATAATATCCTGCTGAAAGAATCTCTAATCATATTTTTACTTGCACGGTCTTTGTCTCTTGTGCACACATGCTGCCAAATCATCCACCTGCACACACATATCCCACTTATCCCTGTATTAGATTCAGGCAATGGCACTGGGACAAAGCTAATTCTTCATCTTCCGCTTCTTCCACTTGCCTTTCATCTCCCCCATTTTTCTTCCTCCCTCACATACTCCCTGAAAAGGATGTATCTGGTTCCGAACACGTGTTCCGGAAAAAAACACAGCCTCACCGGCCACCTAAGTACAGACTGGAATAGGTCTAATCAGCCGATCCAAGGAGGAGAAAACATGACCCCAAATCCATCTCTGGGGCCCATTCCAGCACCAGACAGCAAGATCCGCTCGTTCTGACACCAGCTAAGGAGGGACTTGGAGCAAGTTTAAAGGAGGATGAACAGTTTGGATCACTGACAAATATGGAATCATGACTTGCAGCTTGCTGTGCCACTGCACTCCATTGTCTGCAGTAATGCCCAGCGAATATCTATACCACATCAAAAAATACAGGAAAAACATTACTAAACATGTATAGATGTGTAATAACTGATGGATGTGAAATTTCAGTGTATAATAAACACTATGAAAATACATTTGATGTAAATACGCACGATTCATAGTGTAAGAGAACTGATGAGTCAACTCTTCTTCTTCAACTGCTTAAAGCACGCATGGATTATTTTATCCTAAAAAACTACTATTTTTTTCATTCCCAGCTGCTGCAACTCAAACAATGTTAGAGCCATAATTATTTGCTTATGTGGCAGAGATGGAAATCATCTCAAACCCTGCGATGTAATACCAATACAGTACTTCACTCATGATACAGTATAATTGGGATTTTTAACATTCTGTGATATTCGAGTATTGAAAAAACATATATTTCTACTTGTCAATATCCGTTTTATCCAATAAGATACATTTATTTCACTTCAGTTATTTTTTTGCTACAAAATGATATTGTGAACCATATCAGTCTGATATCAGTGTGTGTCTGAAAGGGGTAAAGCTGGCAATTACCTGTAGCCTGTTTATGATAATATTGCAATTAATTGTGATACATTTTTGAAAGTCACAAATTTGTTGTAGTCTAGTCCAATCATCTTTCTCCTGGCCTTCTTCAGTTCAATCAGCGTTCACACTGTGTACTTAAAATCTCACTGCGCGTCTGCCATTTTTTTGCCCTCAGCACCCGTTTTGCTCTATAGTTATGTAACTAGAATACCATATTATATTTTACAAGTATTCATACTTTTTAAAATTATACGTTTTTTTCCATCTTTCTCTTGCTTTAAACAAAATATATTTTATACTAAATTCTTTGTAGATTTGGAATCATAGTGTATTTTGGTTTCATGTAATTGAATGTTGTAAATTTGTTTGTGTATTGGGAATGTAAAAGCCACAAGAGACAAGGGTTGAAAATTAGCAGCAGCTCTAAACTGTGCAGAAACTAATGACCGCAGATCAGTTTCATGCTCAAAACTGGAATATGTGAAAGTGCATTGCCTCTTTTAAATAAATAAATGAATTGAAACCTACTTTGCTGCATCAATTTTTCCCGCAACACTATTTTGTGCTATATTAACAAAAAAGACAAGGTATGGTACGCAGACAATGTAGACTATTTTTAAATTGAGTTAATTAACTCTTGCTTGCTAAGAAGACATTTACATTTCTAATTTATCAGGCAACAATGATTTGTTTTCAAATCAACAGTCGTCCATTGCAATTGTTAATTTAAGGTGTTTGTTGGGATCAAATAAGTCAGCTATTTAACTGACCACTTTGTTAGATATATCTGTTCAATTGTTTGTTCAATTGTTCAATTTTATTGGGTGACATATCTAGTCATCCAATAAAATGGAAGCCAGTCGGTGTAGTTAGTTCAATAAAACATGTGGACATGGTCAAATCGGCCCACCAAAGTTCAAATTGAGCTTGAGTCTGGCATAGTTGATGGTATCAGAGCGGCTGCCCTGAGTATCTGAGGAACAGTTGATCTACTGAGATTTTTCTACAGATCCATCTCTGGAGAAAATGGTCGGAAAAAGCCACTTCTCTGGATAAAAATACAATATTGAGGCCAGAAGTCAGAGGAGAATGACCAGACTACTTCAAGCTAATGGGAAGGCAACAGTAACTCAAATAACCACTCATTACAACCGAGGCATCCAAAATATCATTTGTGAAGCAATTGGATTAAAGCAGCAGAAGACCACACCAGGTGGGACTTCTGTCAGCTAAGAGCAGAAAACTTCTAATAATTGAAGAATGGAAAAACTCTGCTTGTTCTGATGAGTCTTGATTTCTAGTGGTAGGGTCAGAATTTGATGTAAACAGCATGAAAGCATGGATCTATCCTCAATTGGATCAACAGCTCAGGCATAGGGATATTTTCTAAGTACAATTTGTGTCCCTTAGTTCCACCTGAGCACTGCTTAAATGACACAGCTGAGCATCGTCGCTGTCCGTGTCCATCCCTTTATGACCAAGGTGTACCCATCTCCTGATGGTTGCTTCCAGCAGAATAATGGACAAAGCTCAAAAAGTCTCCAACTGGTTTCTTGAACATGACAATAAGTTCTCTGTACTCAAATGGTCTCCACAGTCACCAGATCTCACTGGTGGAGAAGCAGTTTCTCATTAGTAATGTGAAGCTGACAAATAATTTGCATTACTGTCAGACCTGCCGACAGACCAATAACAGTCATCAGTGGCTATATGCAGACAACACATCCCGATAATTAATAATAAATAGGTTACTGTTTATAGGCAAGAAAAAGCAGCGAATAACCGACGATACAGTTCGAAATATTTGGCTTTTTTAACAGTTAGGTAAGGCTAATCAACTTTTTACTTTTTATCCCTGAATATCACTGCTGGCGAAGACAAGCAATAAGTTGAGTTCACCGTCAAAGTCTTCAAAAATTCATCTGAACTCATTGAATTGTTTTGTACAATAAACAAACTAAAATTGTTTTATGCTCATTTGCAAACTATGCCTATTAGTACAACAATGTTTAAAATGTTTAAAATGGTTGACTGTAGGTTTATTACAGTTGTTTCCTACTGGATATCCCTCTAACTGGATACTAAGAACAGTTTATTTTGATTAAAAGTAATTTGCCACATTTGTTTATTTGCCTTCTTTTCAAAATCCAGGTTGTTTGAGTTACCTGTTACGTGGCTTCCTCTAAGGAAACCCAACGGTTGTTGAGGTAAGAGGAGAGTAATTCATATTTGGAGCCTCTATGTGGTCTGTGCTGTCAGATGTCCCAGATTGTCACTCTTTTCTGTTTTGCACATGGACACTTTACTCATTGTCTATCAGGAACAATTTTACAAACTAAATAAAGGATGTTTGCTATATGGACTGAAGGCAACGTGGGAATTTGATGTGCCCACAAAGTGACTACAAGTTAAGGAGAAGGGGCATCTGCTCTCCTGCGTGCAGAGTCAGAGGAGGAGGCTGGGGCTGTGGGGAGGAAAGTTGCAGGGTGTGGAAGTCGCAGACAGGCTCCATTAGAGGTGTGACCACAAATGGCAAGTTTCACCACTGGGCCACCCAAGTGGAGCTCGCATAGAGTTTATGGGGAGATTTGAGGTATATGACAGGAGACGGATACGGGTGAGATAGAGGAAAACATAATGGTAAACTGGTGAGGCTCTACAGTTTTGTTGTCATCACAAACAACACTTGAATTAGCTGTTACTGCCCCGTACGTACCATATCCAGAGCTCCAACAGCCTTCCGAAGAGCATCTGCCAGGTTCACAGCTTCTGCCAATCCACCTGTGATAACGCATGCTGATCGTGATAAAGTCTCTGAAAGAGAAGACGTGTGATTTTAAAAACTCCTCCACATAAACAAAAAATGGCAAAACTCTGAACGACAAATAAATCAATCTTGGCACATTACAAGAGGTGCACTTGAAAAATTAACATGACTGCACCACAACCTGGCTTGCCTGGAAAACAATTAGAATTTGAGATTGAATATAAATTATCAAAACAGCATTGACTTAATAGTAGCTACAAAAAAAACAATCGGTACAGTTATCAGTGATGTGTAGTAAAATATACATCACTGATCATTTTTTCTCGAGAGTTATTTCTGTAAATTTACATCTTTGTTGTCAGTTTGTGTGGAAAAACGTAGCTTATAGACACCCAGACCCTCAGCTACCCTCCATCACCCACTGGACATGGATAAGCAGCAGTTACAAATAGGCGGCAGTCAGAGAGAGACTCGCCCCCAGCTTTTGGCCATTCCTGTGGGGAAATGTGGACTGACAAGCAAATCGACAGCTTTAGGTTTCACAATCAAACAAGTCTTCACTACAACAAACCAAGCCCTCACTTTTGCTGATATTGCACCAATTTCTCATCTCCTTCCCTCATTTGTAAAGAAAAGCAGAAGATACCTGAAATCCTCTACTTGAGTTGTCTGAATCAAACTGCACTAAAATAAGGTAGGATCCATACACTTTGCCATAGTTTCAAAACAAGAAAATAAACTTACTCAAAGTCAAAGTTCTTTCCTCAGTATGAAAATGAAAGATACACTTGCAAACTTGTTCTACTTTAAAAGCTTATCAGGAGAGGCGAGCACCAAATGTAATACATAGCTAATTATGCCATTACACGCTGACACAATACTGCGCTTCTTCAGGTGACACTTTATGTTTGGTAGTAATATGCAGTGCTCCCTTATTCGCAAGGGTCTGCCAGCCCGGGGCAAACAACATATTACTTATATTGCACGCTCAAAATGCTAAAAATAGCTATAAAAATAGCACTGTAGACAAAGCCTGATTCCTACTTTTCATAGTTATGACAATTAATTTATAGAAAAAAGTATTTGTGAAGTTTTATTATTTTTCCTGAATTCATTAAAGTTAAAGCTAACAAATACTGAACAGCAGCAAGTCCAACATGACTACCTCAATTTGACTTTTATCTTAATTTTAGTGATGGCAAACAGCGTCACCTACTGTGTTGTGGGCCCTTTGAGGATTCAAAGGAGGACTACAAATCAAAATTAAAAGTCCATAGATAGAAATAACACAATTTCACTGTGACATTCATCCCATTGCACACTACTGCTGCAGCAAAAAAAAAGTAAGACTAAATATATTGTTGTTATTTGAAAGCCTTCTGTAGAGTAGCCATAAATGTTCAAACAAACACACACACACTCTGTGGTGGCTCTATGCAATCACACAGAAATGCAAACACAAATTGAAGCTCTCGTCAGTTTCTTGTACTGACAGATATGAGAACTTTTTTCCACGTCCTTTCTAAAAATCAAACAATGAATTCATTCACTTCAGAGGCTCTGAGAATAATCACTTATGTCATCATCAAACAGGTACTTGTTGGTCCAGGTGCTGGCGGGGTGAAATATAGTGCTGTGTTTATTTCCATTTCTCTGATTATGATAGTCTCCCTTGTCCTGACTTGCTTTCTATAGTACTCACTGACTGTGTAAATCCACAGTGTTCATCCCAGGCTAAACAATACTACAAAGAATTTCTTCCTTTGAAAACAATAGCCTATTTTAATTCAATGTCACCTATTCACAACTCCAGACCACACAAAAAGAATGTAGACACTCCTACACTGCTTATTTCTGACCATTTAACCTGTGTGAGAAGACCTAGTGGAATCAACCATTCATGTCTACCTGTCAGCATACACATTTTATATAAGTAAGAGGATGAAAAACTATTGTACTTTGTACTGTACATACAGGAAGTTCTATGAAAGCATATCCACAAAAGAAACTCACCTTTGATAATGGACTCTGCGGCAGCCAAATCCCGTTTGTAGGTCACCTGGAGGACAAAATAACTTGGGTTTATCCAGTCAGTTTACCCAAATGAGAGAAAGGAACGTTTTATTTATGGAGATCTGTGCACATTGTTTCAGTTTTATGTGCAGAGATTTTCAGATATCTGCTCCCAGAAACTCGCTGGAATCTTATCTGTGAGCTACACTGACAATTGAGCTGATTATGTTGCTTTTTAAAGGTTTTCTCAGATTATTAGAAATATTCTCTGAGTAAAATTAATGTGTTCATCAAATACAAAACAAGCCATACATGTGTTTTTCCAAAAACAACAACAACCCGTTTAGCTTCAATCAATGATTTGGACCTCAGATTTGGACTTTCCTCCAGTTTTTATGTCATGATGCACTTTCACATCTCTAAAGATTATTCAAATGAGACAATATGATAGTAACTCTGTAACTTCCAGTGGAATAAGCAGCATTTTAAGTATTTAGAAAATTTATTTGACTGAAGAAGATAGCACTTCTGTTAGTTTGCCATAGAATATGTTCCTACTTTGAAAGTAAAACTGAGGTGCTCAAACAACACCACAAATGTATCCCTTGTGCAAAAACAATATCATCTGAGACTACACTCTGTTTTGTAATGCATTATCTCACAGTTTCATAACACATGTACGATTCTTGATTTAGTTTTTGACTCCATAAATATTCAAACTACCTGCTAAAAAAAGGGTTAGCGATCCATCGTAACTCTGACTCAGTGGGTCACTGTTGTGCTGCTTTGAGCACCGCAAAGTAATTTCAACCTGTTATAATGGAGCAGAGCCTTCAGCATGTAAAACCAAATTGCCTTCATATCAAGTTAACATTACGTCTAACTAAAAAAACACACGTCATTAAGAATGGATCACACAGAAAACTGAGAAGAAAACGTTAATACAGTAGTTAGCCTAATTTCTATATGCTTATCCTGGATGTCACAGTCAATTTATGTGTGTTTCCTTTTTTGCCAGCACCCACAAACTTTCAATTCATGATTTATCTTTACTCATTTGATAAATCAGTGGCGTGCAGTTGTGCTAGCCAAAATGTCACAAAATCCTCGATCCCAAACCCAAAGCAGGCCCCTGGCGAGCTCACCTTCCACAGTGTTGGCGGACCCTCAATGAGCTTGGCATTGGTGCCACAGTACTGCAGAGCCAGATGGAGACACTCTGTGCCAAACTCGAAGTCTGACTCACTGCACTGCAGAGGGGACACAAGAGAGAGCAGATGCTGTGGACGGTCGCTGACACCAGTGTATTTCCATCAAACTCAGCGGAATGAAGGTACCACCACAGTGTATGCTCTGCTTCACATAAAATATGTTCTTACTAACAGATTTTTACAAAAGTTTGAAAATGTTCTGTTTTGTAATCCTCCTTTTACCACAATCTGAGTTGAGTAACAGGACGATTACTCATATTTAAAGAGCCAGTAAAGGACAAGCAGAAACCTCAGGGTTGAAAAATGAATCCAACACATAAATGTCAAAAACTGCAATTCCTCCAGCTGGACACTTGAGGCTGCCTGACTTAGTTCCCATAAACTACCAGGTTAAAATGCCCAACTTTAGAGCAGAAATAAGCAGGTTTACAGGTAGGTATGGGTAGTTTCCTACTTCATAACATTTCATTAAGAATATTTCAGTGAGTAAATTATAACTCACCAGTCTGAATGTTGTTAAGGTCTCTATTTTTGTTAGATAAGGGTGTGGACCACTTTGATTAACAGTCGTACCCACAACTCTCAGCCTGTGTTTGTGGTGCTGGGGCCTTTGGAAGCTTTCTTAATTGAATTAATATAGTGCGCTTTGAAGTAGAGAGCATCCAAATAGTATGTGCTCGAATCTTGCACCAATTAGCAGGTACTGCCAGCAGCAAAATATGGTCATCTCTACCTTAAAAAAAAAAACCCACGGCATTGTTAAAACACACACTTATCCAGTCCTTTGATGAAGTCATCATGGCTACATCCATCTTTTAGACATAATCTATAGTAGAGGGGCTAAATATATTAGATTCATGCCTTTGTTGTGAAATCTCAGACAGTGACTGCCAAAACCGTTTTCACCATGCCAGCTAATATCAGAATTATACCAGACAAGAGCCATTTTCAAGCAGTCTTTGTGAAAAGCAGCCCATGCAGAAAGCAAACAGCATTACTTTTCTTCATTGATCCAATCTTCAACACCTACAGTAAAACAAATGTTGCCTAAATCAAAACAAAAAGCTTGAAGAGCAACCACTGAGTGGCTTAATCAATCACTTGTTGTATTGTTTGGAGTTTTAAATCATATGTGCTGCCAGAGAGAAATATCTTGTCTTGGGACATCAAAAACACATCCAAACTGTTTATCCTCTGAGGAACGTGAAGAATTAATTAACTCAGTAAATTTCACATCAGCCAGAAAATTTGATTTTTGGCTTCTACTATTGTTCCCAGTATTTGTGGACATGTGGTCATTATACCTTGAGATGCTTGTCCATGGCCTATGGGGAACCTAAACTTGATTATACCAATTACCAAAATCATAATAAACAACCCCCTGGAGACATTTCATTTCCAACCCAAATTTCCTAGAGATTTTACATGTAGTTGTTGAGAAAGTTCATTGTGCACCAAATTCTTAAACTAGCGAACTAAATGATGACTTCTACGATTTCTACGCTAAGCAGAAGCACCAAATGTGAAACAGTTCTTATAGATACTTCTTGCGTTGACTCTTTTTATTGGTTTGAAAGATTTTAGTTAACTTAGTGCACCTGTGTTTAAGAATTATCTTACATTTTTATTACTAAAAGACTTCAGGTACAATCTAATTTATTATGTACTGCTGGTATGATGTGCAAATTGCTAAATAAGGTACTTCTTTCCTCTGGGCGCTCCTCAGATAAGTTGGCTTTGTGCAACACAGGTTAGACGTTCAGCTGAAAAGATTTCCATATCTGGAGCCTTTTATTTCACTCTCCATACTGTGACAATGTTTACACAGTAAAGGTTTCATAAAACAAAGCTGCCGTCACCACATTTTTCAACGGATGCTTCACAGGACGTTGTTTTCTTTGGCTAATGCGCTCTTGGAATTGTAACCCTCTTATCTTTCTGAAATAAGATTTAAAATGTGCAACACTGGTTTCATCAGGTTCATAAGACATTTTCCCACATTGTTGTGGGAGATGTGAAATGTTTTATTTGCTGCTGAAGATGTGGTGTACAGAGGTTTTAGAGGAGCTTTTTTTGGTTATTTTGTCGAGGTTAAAAGGTTAGCAGGCTCTGAGGTTTTCGCCTGAAAGAAATTCCTATAACAATAAATAAATTGTTAAAGGAATGACCAAAATTGTACGTCTCACAACTGTATCTTTTTTACACTGCAGTGTAAGGACTTCAAAGACTGGTGGATCTTAAAAGTAACCTAGTGAATCGGGTTTTTTGGTTTGAGTTTTATAGTTTAGGGATTTTTTGTTTGCAATTCAACTTAGCTTCCAGAGAGATTATCCCTCTTTCAGTTTAGTTTTCATTGTTTTGAAAGACTTTAGCTTTAGTTTTACTCTTATATGTTACAGCGTGAGTTTTAGTTTAGGTTGGAGTATACGCTACATGGAAAAAAGCATTGGCCATCTACACATTACGCCTACAGAAGCTGCTTGACAATGGAAACCCATGCCTTGAAGGTCCCTGCACACAGTTTTATGCTGATGTTAATACCAGTGTAGGATAGGATCTCTGCAATTACAGTGTTACCAAAGTCTTTTATTCCCTGTATGCTTCAGCACTCAGTCACTCTGTAACTCTATGTGGTCTGTCACTTCACTTACACAATATATTACAGTACCACACTCAGATTTCATGAACTCTGTAGACCAGTGGTTCCCAAACTTTTTTTGCTAGGCCCCCCTTGGTTTTACAATAAAAATGTTCGCGCCCCCTCACCTTTCAAACTCCATTGTGGTTTATTTCACACCTCAACCATTTAGTAAACAATTAAGCAGATACAAGTAAACTGCAATAAATTAGAGGTAGTAATAAAATACATTACTAACTCTTACAATACGTCCACACCTACATGGGTATTTTTAAAAACGCAGCTGTTTGGGTCTTTCGTCCACACGTAAACGGCGTTTCAAATCACTGAAAACTGAGATTTTTTAAAACTCATTTTTTGCGTTTACGTGTGGACGAGGAATACAGAGTTCATCACGCAACGTCAAAGGTATGTGCCTTTTTTCACGTCACGCTGTGCGCCACGTTATTGTTTACATGAGATGAATTGCAGAATGGCAGATAGAGACAAAATACTGTTAATCTGACTATCTGCAGGTTTTATATACACATGCAGTTACTGTTCCTCCAGACTGCATGGCTAGGTCACTGAATGTATACACCTGCAGCAATGGGACTGAAAAGACCTGAATTCAGAGATTAATAGGTGCTGTAATTTTGTCCATGTAGTGTAGTTTTCAGCGGCACAATTTAAGTGTCTGAAAACATGGATTACATTAAAAATGACCGACTCACAGTAATGTAAAGGTCACAGTTGCAATAAAGATAATCACTAAAGCCTCCTCAGGATGGTTTTCTTGTTTTGACTAAATTGACCGAGACTAAAACTCAAGTCATTGTCTATACATACATTTAATTTTAATTAGCTATCTTAAGAACACAGTACTGTTTTACTTAGTTTTTATTATTTCAGTTTAAAAAATAAAAAGTTTAGCTTTAATTAGGCAAAAAAGACCTTGGGTTATAGCAAAGAGTTGCTTAAGAACACATCCAGCAGATACGAACCAACATTAAACAGCACTGAATAACAATATCAACTCCAAGGAAAATACTTCCATATTTAGCTGCTAAATTCTTCACTAGCTGTGTCTGCTTGCTGTTTGGGTCAAAGCAGGTAAAGTGCAATGGGTTTATATGAGATTTTTTGCTGTCTGTTGCTGGAAACTATGCTGATTAGAGCAATTAGACTAATGTTCTAGTGTTTTTATGTCCTTGTTACTCTGTGTCATTTCCCTCCCTAAACTCATTAGAGTTAATTTTACCAATGAATATTTTATTTGTGCTTTGCTGGCTCCATTTCTGAAGATCACATGCAAGTTTGGATTGAGGCGATGAGGTTTTCTCTACTACAAAGACAAATTCAGGCTACCTGAGATTATAGCAGGGTAATATTTTATCAAGCTATAAAAGAGAGGGGAGTCTTTTATATCTGGGACCATGGAACTGCAGAGAGAAATTACAGCAGAAATATGCTCTTGGTTTTGTGGTAATTTAACCTTTAGCATTTTCTCCTGGTACAAAGGCTCTTGCTGGGGACTGGATAAAGTGTCCTCCCTTTTGTCTTTTCAGCCCTGAGTTCTTCTGCTTTCAATAGATGTCACGCTACAAATGAGCAGCTCTAGAGATTTTTCATGTGCATGTCCTAGAGTCTTAACCTGACAGATACCTTACACTTTCCCTTCTTTTGAAAAGTTTGAAAAGGAGGCGAGGGGGACGCAATCTTACTCGACCTCCTTCTCCAGTGTGCCTTGAAAATACTGCAGAAAAGTGAGCTCATTTTCTGAGAAGGCCAAAGCCAACAGGCCTCTCAGAGCAATCTGAAGATCCATGTGTGCCAGGAGTAAAAATAACTGCAGACACACGGCGCTCCAATTTAAGGCATACTTAACGTCTTAGCTCAAAGTTTGCCGTGCCCTTGAAAAAAGTGGCTATCGGAAGAACCATCTAATGAAGTAAAGGTTGAAATAGCAAACTGGAAGCATCTGAAAAATAAATAAGGTCAACTTCATCGACTTAAGTTTCACATTTCGTTGGCCCACTACGTTTTAGCAATAAACTTCTGCTTTCAGAGAACAATTAACGCATTTACAGTTTACGTCAGCGTATAATTCTTTCCATTTTTCAGGTACACATAGTAAAACACCCTATACATGCGAGAACATTAATCTGAATCCACCTAGACGTTCCGTGTAATTTCAGTCCTATGTTACCATTTTTCCAACTTAGCCTTTGTTCACTTTTGTTCCACAAACTAATCTTCTGCACTGTGGCAGAATATAATCGTGTGTGATTTCTTTCCTAGATGCAGATGAGGCCAAGAGAAAGTGATAGCACCCATGTCACAAGCTCTTCAGAGTGAAACCCTGCAGGTTCTGGCATATCAGCTGAACCATGAAGGACTATAAGGGTCCGTTATGATGTATGGGAATCATAAAGCCCTTTGTCATCCAACTCATGTAAGCTTTAGTGCATAAATCTCAATCTGTCATTTTAGAAGATTTCCCAGATGGTTTTTAGTAATTATTTGACACCACAAATAAGTCACACATGCCTGCAGGACTTAACCATCTATCCTGTGATATGTTTATACAAAATTTATACAAAAATGTACTTTTACTTTTTTCATCTCAGGCAACAAGCTCCGACTGCGAGCATAGAAGGACCACTACTTTCTATTTACATGCAGCAGCAAATCAAAAGGAAGTTTCTTAAAAGATAGGGGAATCCACTGGAAAATCAATGAGGTTGGGCTAAGGAAATTTCTATTGTTATTTATAAAGTTGCGACAATTCTGTGGCATCAAGTAATATTTTCTCTGGTTGAAAATACCATTGTACTAACAGCTAAAATTAATCTTTAGCAAAACAGTCTAAGGACCTTGGAAAGAAAAGTGTCTAGACTTCTTCAGATTTCTTGAAGACGTTTCATCTCTCATCCAAGAAGCTTCTTCAGCTCTAAGAGCAATTGGTAAAGAGTCCCAGATTTTAAGCCCTATGGGAGTGTCCCCCGAGAGGGTCATGGACCCCCTATTGATCCTCTACCACACACAAGCCAAGGTCTGAAGATCACAATCAACCAGGGTTTCAAGTGAACCCATTGTGAAGTCTAGCCCCACCCTATCATGTGATTTCCTGAGGTCAACAGGCCCAGGATGTGAGTGGACATTAAGGGGTCTGAGCAGGGATCTCAAAACTGGATTATAGATGGCAGACAGTTGGTGCCGTAAACCACCGCCTCTGTTCAAAGATGGCCGTTCACAGTGGACATAGATGGCTTCTTTCACTCGTCTTTCAAACCATATTTCTTCTCTGTCCAAAATGTGAACGTTGTGTATGAAGTACAAGGTGGAAAAACAAAGACCAAAACTGGAAGAGATAAACTGTGGTTAAACATCAATATTTAAACTGATGTGTACCCTCAGTCACCTTTGAAAGTGGGGTGAGGAGCCAGCCTTCACAGAAAAGAGCCAAATATGGTGAAAAAGGCACACAGTTACAGACGCTCTGTCCTGAAAGGAATTACAAAACAAACTACAAGAAAAAGAAAAGCTCAAATCCAGCTTGTTTTTCCACCTCCCACACTTGACCAATCAATGTGTGAAGTGGGTGTTACAGAAATGGTCGCACACAGACCTGTGTTTACAGCAAGACTTGACAGCCAAGTATTTCGTATTTTCCTTTTTGTAAACTGAAATCTTAGCTAAATACAGAATGTCAGGTTTCTTTTTATCGTGCATATAACTGCATCAAACCAGAAAGACCCAAAACAAGATGCCTCAAACAGCCCATTTGTTTGTTAAAGATACATCAGAGTATAGGTCCTACCCTCTGATAGGCCTGAGAGATGACATCATATGTAAATCCTTGAGGCATCTCGCTGGCTCTGTACTTGGCTCTCTCCAAAGAGTGGTCTAGGTAGCCCTCGGATGTGGTGGCGATTACTGTGGAAACAAGAGGTCGGATAGCTCCCGCTGCCTGTTTGGACAAAAGACAAAGCATTTAGGTTAACGTATTTGTGCTCAATAGTTCACAAGGACAGAATGTATAAGAGAAAAAAGAGAACAAGAAAAGCTCTGTAAACAATGAAGTCAGTCCCAAACTATCTTCAAAAGAACATGAAATAATTTCATGCTATAAAAGCAGTGTTATCTTGAGCTCTGGAATGTAATTTCACAGTTAGCATGCATATGTATGGAACATTTCTGCATACATATATACCTGACTGCCATAAAGCTCGCTGTAAAAACTATCACAGATGCTTCTAACAATTTTTAACTCATTCACTGCCATTGACGTCTATAGCCGTCAATGGCAGTGAATGAGTCAATGGGTTTAACTCATTCACTGCCAATGGCTGGCAGTGAATGAGTTAATAGTTTTTGAAGGGAGACTAGAGAAAAAACAAAAAGCCTTTTACGAGAAAGCATACTGGGAGCACACTGATACATATCTATCAACATATTCATGCAAAAATACACAGAAAAATTAAAATATCTAGACAGGAAAATCCTCAATAAGACAAGGATCACATTTGCTTCCAAACGCATAAGTAAGGCACAATTAAATCCAAATATTTAAGGTAAATGTCGTGAATAAGTACATTCACATGTACACATACTTAGACACACTCAAGGGAACCAAAAATATTCACACAAGGCAGTGTGCAATGAGCTGATGGTGCCACAAATCAGTCTGACCAAATACTGTGTGACTATACAGTTCTACAGAACAGAGAGAGGAACAGACAGAAACACTTAAAAGAGGAAAATCAGAGTTTTTCTAGCACATGTAGTTACCTTCCATCAAAGCAAAAGTCTATAGTGAGTTAATGTCAACGCTTTAGTATAACTTTTGCCCTTTATGATCAAAGTGTGACCTTTAAAACAATATTACTAAACATGTACATGAATCATGAAATATTACTATACAAGTAGTAAACTGGCCTTCACTTCAGATATTTTTTCATCAAATAATTCTGATTATTTTTCAGCCAAGAGTGAAAATTTCGAGGACAGAACATTTCCTTGATCACATGAGCTGGCAGCTTCACAGTAACAATAAATCCATCGTAACCAGAACAGCCAGAGTACGCACTACACACTCTGCACTTCCTCCCTTGGATATTTAAAATTATAACAACTTCTGAGATAATATTTTCATCTCTCTGTGGCAGATTGAAGACAGACTCCAGGAGTAGGCATTCAGCAAGCCTGTGTGGAAGAAACAAATGAAAGGAAAGCAAACGTGTGTTTCTGCATGTTACACACGCTGTTAGAATCAAAATTAATCTGTTACGTTTTAGTAGAGACAGGCTTTCTATCATGAGCGTGGACACAGGCAGGATAATGAAGACCAGATCGCCCGCTGTGAATGCACGTCACATAGCACGCATGGACTCTCAGAAACACCACAAATGTTTGACCTGTGTAAAGGAGCGCTTGCTTTTTTCATAACCTGTGTGACCTCTCTCAGTTTGGGTTCTTCAATCATGACTCATAATGGAGCTAATCTGTGAGTTTCTTCATCAACGAGGCCGTGGCTTCGGCCTAAATGTTTTCTGCATGTTACCAGTGACATAAACACCACCGCCAAGAGCAATGGAGCTGTCGGTCTCATAAACAGTTTATGAGAAGATGGATTCATCTGGTTTTAAAGGGGTGAGTGAAAGGTGCAATCAAAAACACTTTGGTTTTTCTTTGACGGGAGAACTTGAACTTCTTGTATTTTAGTGTGTGGCTAACTTTCTTGTACTCCTCACAGAAAAATAAAACAGCAGGATGTCTGATGTGTTTACACCATGTGCTTTAATTGGCCTTCTCTGGTTTTCTGCTAAAGCACAAGAAAAAATGAAGTATGCACTAAAGTTGCAATTTCATTTAGGTACGCTTTCCAAGCGTGAGGAACGAGTGGCTTTCGTGGTTTTTCCTCTTTTTGCAGGAGGATTAAGATCTTTCTCTCTCCTGTGATGAAAACAGAGGTTTCCTGAATACGTACCAGATTTTTCATGATATGACAATTTCTGAGATTTAAATACACAACTATGCACCAGCAAAGTGAAACTTGCCGAAAGAAATCTGTGTGTTTTACCTTACTATAAAGATTATTTAATTTATTCTGACTTTATTCTGCCTTTTACTATATATATATATATATATATATATATATATATATATATATAAATAATTTTTATTATACAACATTAATATTAACCATATTAACATTGCAGTAATGGACAGGATTACATTTGAGAAGGTTGGAAGTTGTTTGTTGTGGACGCTGGGATTTGTAATGAGTTATGGGATGTGTCGTTCCTTTACTGTTAAACATAAATATGTCTTTTTTAAGTCATAAGTCACCTTGCAGTTGTTTTTTGTTGTTGTTTTGGTTTAAGACTTAAAATTCATAGATTTATAAATTTTTTATGTTTCAGTGAAGAAAATCAATGGGAAATTCACCTCATTCATTGGGGAATTCAATTAATGGGAAATTCAGCTAGAGCCACTAATAGTCGTTCTTCTTCTAGGGCCCTGTGCTTCGTACGTCGCTTACTACATCCAAGATCAAATGAAACATCCAAGACCAAACCATCGCGCTAACCGTGAGCGCGCTAATCCGGTTCCCCGAACACACCTGCTGTTGACGATTAGTACAGCTGGATGAAGTAATGTGAGATCACTGGGTGCCGTAAAAGGGGATACGCATCGATAGCAGAAACAGTGATCGGCAACCCTCTGATTGGTCGGCGAAAATGTCGAAGGAGTGCGCTCGGCTCTGTATTTTTCGGCAGCAGAGCAAGAACTCCTGAGTGAGGGATTTCAGGAGTTTCAGAGTTAAATCAGAACGCAAGGGAACACTGCAAAGGCTGCAAAAGCAAGGAGAGAGGGCTGGCAGAAAGTTGCTGACAAATTAAACTCGTAAGTAATTTAATAATAATAATAATAATATATTGGATTTATATAGCTCTTTTCAAGGCACCCAAAGCGCATGACAATGCCACTATTCAGTCACTCTCACATTCACACACTGGTGGAGGCAGCTACGGTTGTAGCCACAGCTGCCCTGGGGAAGACTGACAGAAGCGAGGCTGCCATATCGCGCCATCGGCCCCTCTGGCCAACACCAGTAGGCGGTAGGGTAGATTTATTATATTACACTATATTATCCAATATTATATTACATTATATTATATTGTTATAGTATATCCTCTTTCACATTAGAGCCACAACAGGACCCACTAGAACATGGGAACAAGTAAAAGTGAAATATAAGAATATTCTATAGAATGGTAATATCTATCACTTATATTGCTTTTCGTCTCTTGGAAAGAGACCCTGAAATAATCTGTTTGTTTGTTCATAACAGCAACCAAGAAAAGGGCAGAGCAAAAAAAGACAGGTGGTGGTCCTGCACCCCCTCGTCAACAAGTTGGTTAAGTAAATAATACCCTCACGGGGAAATCGATATCTCTCAATGAGCACACTGTCGCGCTGAGCTAAAGGATCCTGTCTATCCCGCAACATACGCTGGATTCTGAGGACTCTCCTTATCAATCTTGCACCTTCCGCAATGGGTGGCTCGCGTAAACGGACAGGACATGGCTGCAACAGGCTTCCCAAATCCACCTTGGCTTTTATAGCCGTGGTCTCTCATCTTGATTACACGAAGTAATTTACAATTACTACTCTGAAATATGAATTACATCTGTAATAATCACATACATGTAATAGAATGTTAATAGTACATTTCCCTTTTTTAGGAAATGACCTGTATGTATCTGTGTGACATCAATAAAAGGATCAGGTGCTGCATTATCTTTAGTTACATTGATGTTATTTATTTATGGTGAAACAGTGGTGGAATATCGCTGTTGCTTTCGTATAAATGAAGCTGACATACCTGCGTGGCCGCGATCTAATCCTGTTTACATAAAGTGAACCTGCTCCCGAGCAGGTTTACGCTTACGGCTCTGTTGCTATGACAGCAAGTCCCGGATGAGCTTCGGGGAACCGAACGATCCAGGATCACGCGAAATCGTCAACAATCTAATCCAGCTAACTTACTTAGCGAGGTACGAAGAACAGGCCCTAGGTGTGTTGTTTACGACAACAGAGAACACGTTTGTAATGAAAATAACTGTGTCTGCTCAGCAGACACTGGGTTTCACCGCAAACCCAGTGTCAGCTGAGCACATAGCAGACACACCAGTGGTGTCCAATCCTGCCTTCAACCTGCCATCGCTGTTAGATACACTCTGCTGTTTTGTATGCGTTTACAGTCATGTGGTACTTAACCTTCACATCTAATGACATCTGTCCTAATGATGCCACTATTATTCAAATCAAATCAAAATGTATTTCCATAGCACATAATAATACAACAAAGTTGACCAAAGTGCTTCACAGTCGGTCAGAGCAATAGCATAAGACAGAATACAAAAGAAACAGTTAAAAGGAGGGCAGGAAACAATATGACAATTGTTTGAAACAAAAACTAGCCACGAAATAACATACTAGTTTGAATCAAAAGCCCGACTAAAATAATACGTTTTAAGACGCAATTTAAAAGACTCGGAAGAACGAATATAAGGAGGGAGGTTATTTCAGAGTCTGGGAGCTATGACTGCAAAGGCCCGATCACCTCTGGACTTCAGACGAGACCTCGGTTGCGTCAGGAGCTTTTGATTGGAAGATCTAAGTGCCTTGTTAGGGATATACAAATGAAGGAGTTCGCATAGATAGCTGGGAGCCAAATTGTTTAAAATTTTAAAGGTAAGCAAAAGAATTTTGAAATTGATACGATAATCAACGGGGGGCCAATGTAGGTTGGCTAAAACTGGTGTGATGTGGGCAGAATTTCTAGTACCAGCTAAGAGACGCACAGCTGCGTTTTGAACTAACTGGAGCTGGTGAATAGAGGAAGATGGGAGGCCCGAGTAGAGAGAATTAGTAGTCTAATTTGGAAGTGATAAGAGCATGAATGAGCTTTTCAAGGTCCTTCAAAGGAAGTTATGGCTTTGCTTTAGATATCTGACGCAGCTGGTAGAAACTGCTTTTTACCACAGAGGAGATTTGTTTCTCGAGTTTAAAAGAGCTGTCCAACCTTACACTGCTATTAATGTAATGGCAGTGTAAGACTCAAAAGTGGTGGTGGCAGGACGGGTAGAGAAGATGGAAACACCATAGAAAAATGAGGAAGTTTTGTTTTAGAACCTAGCTTTAAGTAATGACTCCTTCCTAGTTGACGGTAGCACCTTCAGATATCCTGTTTTTGTCATTGTTTTTTTGACGTGATTTATGTTTGACTGATGTTTATTTTTAAATATAACATTGTTTATATGTTGGTTTTATGTATTATACTTTCCCAGTGGCTCTTGTTTGTGTTTAGCTGATTATTCAGGACGTGCAGTTTAGGTTTGTGGTTCTATGTTTGGGTTAGTATTTACTTTACTATTCTTAACAGTTGCTGTTTCCATTCTGTTCCTCCAGTCTTGTCTCTGTTTTCTTTTGCCTTTTAGTGTTCCACTGCCTTGCTGTTTCCATGTTTAGTTGTTTTATTTCCTGTTTTATTTTGATAGTGGTTTGTTTGTATCTTGTGTACATCTACTGTATTGTGTTTAACCTTCCCCCTGCTCGTTGTCTAGATTGCTTTCAGCTGTGTTTAGTTCCCCATCTGTTTCTCCTTCCCACGTTACCTCTCATGTATATATTGTTACAGTCTTCCTGCCGAGCTGTGTGCTCCCTAGCTCTGTATTCTTTTCCCTATAGATAAGCGAGTCGAGTTAGGCCGAGTACCTTTCCTGTATACTTTGCCAGGTTTTCTCCTGCAGAGGCTCGGTGGTGGACAGAGTCATTCCACTGACTGATCTGTGCAGGGTTTGCATTATACCTCAAGTAAGCCTGAGCGTCATCTCTCTCTACCTCCTCGGAATGACACCTCCAGGTTTCCATTTGTTGTTTGCTTTGATGCCCAGACCACCTCACTTACACTTCACTTATCTATGCCTCCATGCCACGACTTATACCTCTGATTCCTCAGATGTCATGTTTATTATTTTTTACTTTTGTAAATTAAAGTATTACTGGCATCACAACCAATGTTGTCTTCCCTCTTTTTTACTGGCTATGAGCCAGCTTGTGTACATATTAACATTTGAAGATATTTTAAGAACAATCATTACAAGGCAGAAGCAAAAGAGGAACATACACACAGAGGATGATTACATGACCATGTAACAGATTACTCCAGGAAAGGTCAGATTTGAGGTGCTGGAAATAAGACAATCTAAGGATGAAAACTCTGTTCCAAACAACACACAAAATAAGCAGCAAATGTAACAACATGTTGGGTGGGTTTCAGGTCAGGTTCCAATACGTGATTAATCTTTTAAATATTAATCATTTTAGTCACACTAACCCCTTGTTCCTTGGCAGCCATTGCTATCTTGCACAGAAAATCCTCCTCCACAAAAGGCCGAACAGCATCATGTATGATGACAACCTTCGGTCTGCCCACTGCTGGCCTCTCCTCCTCACCCAGAGCCAGGACTCCATTACATATCGACCTGTGACGCGTCGAGCCTCCTGGCACCGCACGAACCTTTCTGTGCTTAAACCGCTGGATGATGTCCGTCATCAGGTCCATGTTTTCTTTGGCAACAGCGACCACAATGCTTTGGATCCATGGCATACTGCAAGAAAAAGAAACATCAGCTCAGAAATGCCTGATTTGTAAACTGAGCCCTCAGATGGAGAATTGGGACTGCAAGTAGAGCAGGGTGATATGGCCAAAAATATTTATCACGATATATATTTGAAAATTTGCGATAACGATATAACCGACGATATAATTGATGCGAGACAAAATACAACTCCACAACATTACTAGCGCAAAAAGACAACCTTCCATTTATTTTCACTTAAACAAGAAGCTGGTTTTTATGTACATTAAAGCTTTATAAAAATGTAACAGTGCAAATGCAAATTCCTTGCTGAAAGTTTAACCAAAAGGCATTTCCAGTAGAAATGGGCTGGCATATCCTGAGCATAACCACGTATAATATGGTTATATGGTTAAAAAGAGGTGCTTTGCAACATTAAACTGCAGTGTGCAGTACGCATTTTTCGGACCATAAGGTGCACGGGATTATAAGGCACATTACGCGAAACAAAGCAGTCAGATAAATCAAACTTTATTAAACTCATTCTTCTTGCTTCCTCCACTTCTGTACCATTGATTCATTAATGTTGAATTCTCTGCAGCTGCTCTATTCCCATGTTGTTGCAGTATATTAATGACTAACCTCGTATTGTGGATGGATTATCTCAGTTGTTCTCCTGACTGAAGTTTGGTCCGTTTACAGCATCCTGCCATGCGATTGCATTTGTCTCTAACCAGGAAGAACCTTCACGTTAACTTTTATAAGTGGAAAAGTGTTAGTGTTCGTCCTCCAGCTTCACTGTTTATGTTATGCTAACATAGCTGTGTCGCTAGCGATCACGTAGCACATCATTATATACCAGCTAGCCCAACTTCAGTAACCCTACAAACGTCACTGCTGTTTAGTTTCCTGTCTTCATTTATGTTGGAAGTGATAGCAGAGCTGTACGTTTGATTTTTTTCAGAAATCTCTCAGTCAGAACATGCAATATCATGCTTAGGTAACTAGCGAAACTAGCGAGCTAACTTCCGCTAGCTTCCTGCTAACTTCTAACTCCGTTAAATGTAATAACTTTTGTTCTCATGGATGCCTGGAAGTTAAACTTTATAGTTACACCTGGTAAAGCAGCAATGCTGATCGTTTTATTAAAGATGAAAGAATTTAGAAAGTTTTTAACTCTAAGTGATGCTGCAGTGTTGTTTGACCTGAAGAATACGGAGTTTAGGACCCAGATTACTCCCAGATTTAAGAGCATCTTAGTCCGACAAATATGACAATAACAACGGCCGCTTGCATGTTCTGCAAAAAAATGTGCTTTGTTGTGTATCTGATGGACAAACACCAAAGCAGTTCCACATCACGGAAGTTGCACCATTTTTACAAACCAATTCTGGTTCATCTGTTTCACTCAACAATCGGCCATGTGCGTATGAAAACAAAGGCACTGCGCATGCGCGTTTTACTCCCATTCTATCGCGATATTTCATTTTCCTATCGTTGCCTAACATTATACCGGTATTACCGTGAACGGTATAATATGGCCCAGCCCTAACTGCAAGTACTCAAATATTTAGTATTTTTTAGGCTGTGTAATGTGGAAAAAGTCAGGAAAGATTTGAAAAGTTCCCAAAACACTGGATGACATTTTCTGACCACTTAAACATGTATAATATAAATATGTATAATATTTATATGACAATTAACACGCTAAAAATGCTTGTTTTAATTTTATTTTAGCTTAAAGTACTCTTATTATTTAGTAAAACATATGCATTTGGGTAAAAAATAGTATAGTTGTTTCTCTTGCAAACAGTTTACATTAAATTCACATACTTGACTTAAATAGGAAAGTAGCCCCAAGAGACCGTTAGCTTAGCATGGAGAAGTGAAGTGGGGGGACTAGTGGATGTCCACTAGTTCAAAAATCTGCCAGCCAGCACCTTTGTTTTATAACTATAATGTATCATCTCATCTTTTATAGAAAATTAAAAGCTTTGGATCTTAATGTTAAACCAAGCTAATAAGGTACTACCTGCAGCTGTAGCTGATTGTAAAATGCATGAAAAACATGAACAAAATAAAAGTTCTGGGTTCAAATAAGCCACTTTTTACCAGCAAACTGGCAGCCCCTGACCCCTGGCAGCCTCCCTGTAACCTCGAGGAGGGGCACACAGGCTGTGTCTTTTCTGCTTGTTAATTTTCTGACAGGCACATAAACTGACAACAAGCTAGGAGACACATCAGATTTCAAAAACCAGCTGTCTTGGTATTGTTGTAATGGAGGTCAAACAATGATCACAACACAGAGTAGCTCCATCTTTTCATCACTTTAGTTATTGAGCCAAAAATCTGTAGAAAATATGTTTGTTTGCTGAACAAAAATACCCTAATGCTTTGACAATCATAAATTGAGTAAAATAAAAAAATTGAGTGAGCAGATTTTACTCCTACAAAGGTTAATAAGTCACAAAAATGTCTCTGGTGTATCAGAATGAGGCACCAAATTGGACAAAGCATGTGAAAGGGTACAAACACTTAATGGACTGTTATAGGTTGAAAAAGAAAGGTAGAATTAACATGCTAGAAAAGCTGAAGGAGCATGACAGAGAAAAAGTTATCAATTGACCCCCTCTGCCAGTTGTGCAAAATTTAGCTAATCCCAATATGCATGCAAAGAAAAATCTTCTGGAACAAAAAAAAATATTATGCAACTTATTTCCAAGTAATTATTTTCCTCATACTGCATCAGTACATAGGGCTGTTCAATATAACGATATATATCGGATGACGACATAAAAACTTCTATTGTAAAAATAGAAGTTCTACAGTACACCTGATCTTAGGGTTCAGTCGCCTGCAAAGCATAACATGTATGTATGCCACATCTGCACATCAAATAGAGGACTGCGTAAAACAAGTGACCAGATTTAGATTTTTTCAGTACAGCTCCTTTTCAAATGGATAGGGATGACTGCTGTATTAGGGCTGAAAATGCATGAGTGGGAATGAGATATTTTTCTATTTTAAATTATTTTCATAACTAATGGAAGCCAGGAAATGTACTGAAAATAGAAATGATCCACAATTTTTGTGCATATGTCACAAAATAGGAGAATATGCCCACCATATTTGCTGAAGCCAAAGCAAATACTCAAATTGCCAAAGCTGTTTTCTTTTGAATTAGAAACCAGGATTCCCCCCAATTTCAGTATTTATATATATTTTTAATATGATTATTAATGAGCAATCAGATATTGACTGTACTGTGCACTGCGGGGGCCCAACGATTAAATATTGCCCATGGGCCACCCGAGCCACTAATCCGGCCATGGTGGTAGTAGCTGAGGCATTTTTCCTTCTGTTTCCGTGTCTCCCTAATAACTAACGGGGATTGAATCTTGTCGCCTCTCCTATCGTAGACGTTTCCTACCTCTCGAAAGCCTGAATAGTGTAGCTTATGAGCGGTCTGCCAAGAAACGTGCAGAACTGTTTTGGTGTCTGTAGTCCCGTTCTTTCTCCGGTGCCTCCGGCAGGAAGAACCACCGATACAGGGAAGTCCACGCAGCGTTCTGCCGAGTGGTGGTCGCTCTTCCCGGCCTCGCACATTGTGAAAATCCGGGGATGAGCGGGCCTGTGCGGTTCAGTTATCACCCCGCGTGTTCATATTACTGACCTCAATATGTTTACAGATAGGGGTGTGAGGGGTTTCACTGTAGGTTACTTTCCAAAGCTATCCATTCCCTTCTGATGGGCGGGGTGGGTAAGATACCGAAAACGTGGATGGAAAAGGGGGAACCACCGCTGTGAAGCGGGCAGATTATCGATGGCGAACACTTCCGGTGAACGCTTCAAAATAAATATAAAAGCGTTTGAAAGTTGCAAATGTAAAATTTATGAACTTACAACAGCTCGTAGAGTATTTATTTTGATTTTAAAAAGTTAACTACACTTCACAACAGAGGATTAAAGGTAACAGTTTGTGAACTTCGCTTTGTGAAGTTTATGTGACTTGAAGAAAAGTAAGAAAACAGTGTTTTCCCTTTAATATGTGGTCCTTAAAGAGGAAAACGCAGGATGTAAAAGAGAGAACTTTTAGAAATACTTACATTTGTGCACCTATAATGTACTTTTTATTCTATGCATTCATTTGTACGTATGTCTTTCTGGTTTCCAAAAAAGTCCAGGGGATTTTTATTTTTGATTAACACAATTAGCCCGGTAATTCCCTAATGTTAACAATACTCAAACTATTTAATTGAGTCCAGAAGCATCATAATCAGTTTCATCTACTGTTCTTTCATTTATTGTTTGTATTAGTATAATTTAAACGTTACGGTGTTTAATTTCCCATTTTAGTAACGTAGTAATTCCAAAAAAGAATTATGGGAAATATTTGCTCCTGTCCGCAGGACCACTGGTCAGGACTGGGAGGTCCTAATTCCTGAGATGTTTCAAGACCATTTACACTGCAGATAGGTGGAAATGTGTTTATGGCAGAAATCATGCTATATGCCAGTGCTGAATCCATCCAGCTTTCTTACCTGAAAAATATAAATTTATTGGTGCATTTTATGTCCGAGGCTTTAAGTTTTAATGAGAGCCCTCTTGAAGATGAAACACATCAAACCAAAAATTCCTACTAGAAACAACACATATGATTAAAAAAAAAGGATATTTATTTCATACAATGTTATTTTTACACGACTGATTGATGACAAAGCTTTTTCCAGAGGATTCACCCACATGCTGACTGCACTTAAGCCACACTTATCAGGTTCGCTGCCAAATAAAATATATTACATCATAAATCTTACATGGTAAAATTTTATACAAATGGACATACTTTATAAAGCATGAATTTTATATATGTACATCTATTTACACAATATTATTTTAAGATGTTGGGTAGTGTTTATTGGTGTTGGCGCTTCGTTAGTTAAAGATCTCCATCTGCATATCAAATGACTATATGAACACATGCACAGGGCTAGAGGACAGTCTATGCATGGTTCATGCACAGCAAAATCTCCAGTGTTAAATTAACACTAGAGAGTGTCTATATGGGTCCACACCTCTGAGTGTTAAATACAACACTATGTTATATGTTTAAAAGTAACCTAGTCAGTTTTGAAGATCAACAATGGCTAACACTGAGCAGTGCTGATTTTCTAACACTGGAAAATAACTCAAAATGTTAGAAATAATCCAGTGTTAGAAAACCAGCACTGCTCAGTGTTAGCCATTGTTAATCTTCAAAACTGACCAGGTTACTTTTAAACATATAACACTGTCAAAAGTGTTAATTTAACACTCAACAGTGTTGTATTTAACACTCAGAGGTGTGGACCCATATAGACACGCTCTAGTGTTAATTTAACACTGGAGATTTTGCTGTGTGGCTGGAGAACATTCTGCAGACAAGTCCTGGTCATATTAGCTTTAAGCATGTGGATTAAAATGTCAAGAAAAGTTCTCAGAGTCCTGCTTGGAGTTCTTCATCATGGTGAGGAACCAGTTCACATAAATCAAGTCCCAGTCACACACATATAATCCACAACTGCTGTTTCTGGATGTCGTGTCTTAACATCACTGAGACAAAACTTCTTGAGGTTTAGAGTCACTCTGCATGTTCAGTGTCTCTCAGGGTTCAGTCTCGTGCCAGTTTTCACTCAGCCTGTTCTTCCCCGACCTTCTCTTGCTCTTAGATTTGTGTTTGTGGAGAAGCCTCGGTGGCGACAGGGCCGACTCCTCAAACTTGTTTCCGGATTCATTGTGTTGTCTCGAGTACCTCTTGCACTTGCAGGAGGTGACCACTGTAATCTTGTAAGTTCTTGTGCTGCCATCCTGGCACTGCAGCTGGATGCGCTGGGTACGGGTCTTGTCATTGACGCACCGCCAGTCCTGGTTGCTGCTCCGTCGATTCCAGAACCTTCTGCCATGGGTTCCGCCAATCCAGTTTTCCAGCATCTGAGCTGGGAGACACTCGCCTGCACACACCAACTCCTTGATGGGGTTGATGCTGGTGCAGTGACCATCAGAGATGTACTTAGTGGACCTCAGTTCTCTGCATCCAATTTGACTTTGCTCTGTAGGCAGAAACAAAGACGTGTGAGAATATGAAGAAATATATGTAGGCAGCTAGACAGAAACTGGGCTGCAACAAATTATTTGACTATTAGTTACTTCACAGATTTCTTTGTGTACTCTTTTTGAAAGTGAAAAATAAAAGCAGAAGATTCTCACAGTTGCAAAGCTCCAATCAAGTGCTATACTTAGAGTTTTTGCTTTCCTTGCAGAACAATTTTGCATCTCTAGTTTTTGGTCTGATTGAAGATTACCCCCATTGTACTAGTCATAAGTCCTTTTGCAGCCTCTGGCAAGTCACACGATACAAGAGGAGCACCCTGACATTTCTACTTCAGTAATTACAGCACTGTGAAACAGAAAAACTCTCTTCTTTAAATCTGGGAAGCGGATCTACTTCTGTACAGCAACATTATTCTCCCGTAGGCTACAAACAGTGTCCCACTGCTCTCCCCTCTGTCACTGTAACCCAAGCTTGAGTCCATTGAAACAACTCCATATACAATGCCCTCCCTTCTCAGTGACAGTGTTTGATGAATGAAGGAAGGCTCCAGCCTGATCTCTCCCTCCCTTTTGCCACTTCACCCCCTCCCCCTGTTTAGTAATCCGCCACAATGGTATGGGAGAACACTTTCATCCAGTCCGCTGCTCGGCCTGATAGAGCCTTGCATCCCTGTCTGGACCCCAGCCAATCAGGTGTGTGTTACACTGAGCAATATATCACTGGGGAGGGGGGGGGGGTTGGTGTGCTCAAATTCACTGCATTCACTGCCCATCTTTCCCTTTTATAACACCCCTAAATTTGCTCCATGTCTTTCCAGTCTAGACACTCCGATAAGCTTCCAGTCATGTCTGCAAACTGGTGATGATTTAGTGTAAAATAATCCCTTTTAAGAATGTAGGAATGTGTAAATGGGAACAGTATGGTGATGATGGGATTAAGTGCCTGATTAAAAGACATTTGATCTTTGTGGTTTAAAAAGCATTATAACCTGATCTTCATAAACTGGTTTTAGTTGTAGTTGCAAACACCTTTTCATAGAGAAGAATAACTAGATAAATTAAAAACGTTCAAGCTTCTAAAGATGCAAAAACAGTCTACAATGTGCTAAAGGCACACATGGTAGGATATATTCGCATATCATGCGAAACACCTCCAAACATCAGAAATTTACAATAAGCAATTTAAAAAAAAAACACACATTCTGCAACAAAGCAGAACCTTTTTCTCTAAAGTAAGTTTAAAGCAGAATAAACTTCATTGCAAACTCCAAAAATACCAAAGCAGAGGAGCATCCTCTGGTCCTCTGAAACAAGATGCGTCCCTTCACTCCACTCACCGCTTCTGTCGTGCGCCGCGCTGCCCGCTCCTCTCCCGCCGGTTCGTGGACGGTTCATGGAGACGTTGCTTTGGACCTCCGGCACCGGGGCGCTCACGTGAGAGAACAGGAGCTCCGTTGCGTCGTTCTTGAAGGCTTGGCAACTCCTCAGCAGGATGCAAAACAAGAAGAGGGAATGGCAAGACTCGTGCGCGCTGAGATGCATGGCTGCGTTTGGGGACAGAGAGAGTGTGTAACGTTGGAAACGAGAAGCAGTCGCCTCTTATAAGCGAACCGATGCTGAGGGACACATGTGAGGGCAGTGGGTTTTATATAGCCCGCCCGCCTCTCGCTTTGGCAGCTTCTCAGGTGCGTTTCATCGAGAAGATTTGATTGGTCGCCAAAAGTATACCCCAGTAAGACAACCCCGCCCAGTTTTTTATTTTTCATTTTGGAGAGCTAAACAGTATGCAGAAAGGGTGATGAGCATGATGGGATTATGTGAGCAGTTGGCACATCAACAGGTTTTGCTGATTCACTTAAACATTCAGATTCAGTTTGGGCTAAATTAACAAACAGCAGTAAACAGAAATATAATGCTCCCAAGTTTCCACAGCTCTGACCTTTATCGGCATAAAAACTAATTTCTGACTCAGCCAAATAAGAACAGCAATTACAGGCACAGTGTGGGTAAAACTATCTTTGGGATTTCATTAAAGAAATTTCATCATGATTCAGAATAATTCTTTATAATCTCATTTGTCATACCAGAATCAAGTGAATGGAAACAAGATTACAAGTTTGCATGTATTCTTTGGAGACGGCGTACCAAAATCAAATATCAGAGAGCTTAACCTTTAATTTAATCTGCTACAGGAGGGCAGAAAAGCCAAGAAATGCTGATTAGATTGGAAGTCCATTGCAGCTTTTTGTCTGAATTTGAGTTAGCTGAATGCAATAGTTTAGCTATACATCTTAAATACAGAGAATAAGTCAAAACAGATAAATCATATAAAACTTTTCCATTCTCGAGAAAAGGCAGCTGAGTAGTCAGTCCTTTTTTATTAGAGATCAGGAATGATTCTGACTTCCAAAACGTTCTTAAATCAGATTTGTTCCTCTGCTTAAGAAAAAAGAAAAAGGGCTCTATTGTGTGCCAGTGTTTTGAAGTAATAGTTTCACTGAGGTGTCATACAATAAGACTGACTGCTACTGGGTTCCCATAATAAACAGATTAGCTTTTAGTGACTCCTGCTGTTGATATTATAAAAAAGCAAAGCTGGTTTGTATCAGTGTATCCTTTAAGTGGCATGAAGGGGCATAAGGTGCTTAAAAAGGTGTATGGGCCACTTTAAAGGTGTATGGGCCACTTTAAGTCCAAAGAGGAGGACAAAGTATTGATTTAAATAAACATTTTTGACCAATCAAAGTCAATTATTTGCTGCTTATTCGTACAGTTATAGTTTCTAAATCAGTGGTTGCATTTTATTCCAGATTACTTCAACTCTGAATACCATGACTGATTTCTGTTTGCTCTAATTAAATATTATTTACTAGATAATAATTTCTCAGCAACACAAATATTAAAATATTCCAGACCTGCACTGTATATACAACATAACAGAGCAGTGAAAACCCAAATTGGTTAAATGCGCTTAAGTGTGAGCATCATTACATAAGTTCTAAAACACATATAAATAGTGTACCGTTAGTAATTGCTTATGTTGGCGGAAATGCATCCTGGAAAGCAATCGGCAGCAATGGTCCTTGTTGGGTGAAAGTCTTATACCTTAAATTCTGAGGCTTTTTTTTTATGTCAGCTGAAAAAGATGTAGAAATAATTCATGAAACTCTTAATGCACCTGTACAGCTTATATGGTGCTTCCTGGGGTCATTGGTTGTTCCACATCTTTTATCATCACACAGTGTTTGGGAAGCTTCATGGCTCCCCAGAACCAACCAAAACCTCTGCCACCACACTGCCCAGCTTAACAGCCCCTGCCTGCTGGCCCCTGTGGATGGCTGGCTCATTAACAACAATCCTCCTCATGAAACAAATGAGCGCCATGTCTGACCTTGAAGTTGTTTTACCAACTTTGACTGTAATTGCTTCTCCAGGTCAACTTTCAGCTCCCAATATGGTGCCATTACTGCGGTCATGGCAGCTGATATTGGCTTTCCCAAGCTCTTTGGAAAGTGGTGGATTTCTTCAGTGCAGAGCCTCTTCCCAATGTAAGTGATATCTGCTAAAGCCATCGGGACTTCACTTCAGGCCAAACCTGCTGATTCTTACCAAGTACAAAAAAGTACCTTACACGAAGTGGTCTGTATAAGGATGGAAGAAGAGAAAAAGCAACAGTTTTGATAGTAGCTATGGGAGGCTCAGGAACGTCTGTGTTTTCAACACAAACACATAAATGGTGGATTCCAGTTGATTCCAACTGCGCCAGCAGGGCGCAGCTCATCTAGTCATGAAAAGACTCTTTGGTAGAGGTTCATGGGAAGATGGCCTGTGATTTCCTCAAAGTTGCTAATTACTCCTAAATGTGATGATTACAAGTGAACACAATGGCAATGTAAATATTAGCTTATAAACATCATTACTGATTTGACAAATTAATAATTATACCTGATCACATGGTACTACAGCGAAAGTTTTAGGGTCATCAAATTTTAGGCTCATCCTGGGAAGATCATAAATGTCTGTGCTAAATCTGTTCGCCTCTGCATATTAAATGAGGGTTGCAGGAAAGCTGGAGCCTGTCCCAGCTGTCATAGGGCAAGTTGCACGGTATACCACCTTCACATAGAGACAGATAACCATTCACACCTAGAGCAAATTTAGGGTCACTGATTTACTCAACCTACATGTCTTTATACAAGGAGGAAGTTCAAATAACTGGAGGTAACACAGGCTGGCCAGGCTCCACACATAAAGGCTCAGTCTGGATTTGAACCCAGAACCTTCTTGCTGTGAGGCAACAGTGCAAACCATCACACCATCTCCATGCTATTTCATGGCACTCATACAACCTCAATTGTGAACTTAATGGTGGCACGAGAGAAGCAGGAGTCAGCAAAGCAAAGTCAGTATAATTCACAATGTGGCATCCATCCATCTATCCATGTGCGTGTGAATTTGATTTCCTAAATTACAGTGAAATTTAAAACATGAGACAAATCCAAACTGCATGCGGCTGAAAAATATATACTCTGTCCAGAATAGGTAGAGTCTATAAAGTGGACCTCATAATAATGAGGTCTGTGTATGTGCAGAGTCCCTGTGAGCCAGAATCTCGAGATTCAAACTGCTCTAAACTCTCAGTTTTACCCTAAAAAAAATTGCTCTTGGCTATTTATCATGTCAAAGAGTGGATGTCCCTTATATGATAACCTCAGGCACACAGCCTCACCCACCTGCTGTTCAAACCTTCTTTTTTGTGAGGAGTAGCCAAAGCAGGCTTAAAGGAACGGTGGGCTTAAAAAAACATGAGCTAAAACAGCTGGCTTCAAACTGTGCATGAACTTAAGGACTGAACCAACATTCAGTATAAGCTACATAAGAATGGTGACTCATGCTCGTCTAATGAAGTCCAAGAATAAAAATAGAGTTGAGCTGGAAATGAAAATAATGGATTAATTATAATAATATGCTCTTTGACTCTAAATAAAGGTAAATATGACTGAACTATGAACAATTTTACAGCATGTTCTTCAAAATAAAAGGAAAATCTAACCTCTCTGACTTTCTGTGTTCCAGACCAATCACAGAAAGTTTTTTTAAAAAAGGAAAAAAATGCATCACTCATGACTAAACCTGATAATTATAAGTGCAGATGAAAGTGCTCGTCTTCAGTAGTGATACTAGAAAATTAACTGCAAACGTCTGCAAGGCTGACGGTTAAAGACACCGGGTTAAGCTGTACCTCCTGCTCAGTTTGTCACATTAGACATACTCCACGTTGGGACTTGCCTTGAATTCAGTGATGAAAGCTGATACTGTGTGTGGGTAATTTGCTGTATCCTCCCTCTGCCGACCCCTCAGTTCCTGTCAGTTACACGTCTAATGATTCAAGTGCCCAGACTAACTGGAGTCTTTGTATGTTCGCTGTACAAAACAACAAGAGATATAATTACTTTTGTGGGGAACACTCAATCCAGGCTTGTCTTACAGATATGAAAAGCGGTGTCATGCACAGGCACTAATTGTTGCTCATGTGAATGAAAGTTGATATGCAAGATCTCTTACCTGTTTGCTTTTATTATAACACAAACACTTTTTAGGGCTGGTCTCCCTTTTCAGGAGAGACAGCCTGAGGATGTCATTCTTCTGCTGAGTGAGATGGAAGAAATACTCAGATGGACTACGATGTTAAAAATCAAAATTTTCCAAATTTGTTTAAAAATTAATAAGAATTGTCAAAAATTTAGGAAAGAAGTGGGTTAGGATGGGCAAATTAAAGAATGTAAGAAGGCAGAAAGGCAGAAACAAAAGGGAAAGAGAAAGAAGAACGATAAAATGGAAAGGAAAAAGGAAATTAAGAAGGAAAAACAAATAGAAACAACATTAGCAGGATGAAACGAATATCAAGAGACTTGAGAAAAACAAATTAAGTAAAGTAAGGAAAAATAGAAATGGGAAAGATAAAAGGAGAAAACAATGAAGGAAAGAAACAAGACAAAATAAGGGAGGAAAGTAAGAAAAAAGTTTGAGTGAAAAGAAAAATTTTATTGTGCAGGAGAGAAAGAAACGTTCATAATGAAATGGTTTTCCCAGTTTGTGAGAAAGACGTTGACTGGCCTGCTCAACACCTTTCAGGATTTTCTAACATGATCAATGCTACTGACTACATACAATTCTCAAGACAGATTAATATGACTTTGGAGATGGACATTAAATTGGAAGCTTCATTCATAAGTGGTGTTTTTGCAGTGTAGTACCACACCTGCATAAATGTAATTCCTTTCTATCCCTTCCGCAGATGATTGGTTTCTGTCATTAAGCTTGACACTGAGCTTCTGTTATTGTTTCCTCTCTCTTTTGTTTTTCCTCAAACAGGAACACCGGGGGCTCATTCACTCTACTTCCGAGAGAAAATAAAGGACAACGTGGCCAACTCTTCTCAGAGGACTATTTACACTTTGACGCCCCTCTGAGCTTCTTATGGGAGTGGGTGAAAGCCGAAGGGTAAACATGATAGGCTCTACCTTTTGTGTCCTCACCATATAAAAGAAAAAAAAAAGGTGAGAGCAACTCCCTCTCTGCACACGCTCTAACTCAGCAGCAGGAACACGCTTCCCCCAACCCTCATGG